TTTGGTCTCTCAAGCAAGCTAACCTGCAGAAAGAAAAAAGGCACAACAATACAATGACTTTAGGCCTAACAAAGCATGTAAATACAAACACAGCTACTAAGTCATGCACTTGAAAGAAGTTGCCTTCTGCATCTTCTGAAAGATGCATTTCACACTAAATGGCATACTGGTTGCATCTGAAAGCTACCAAAAAACACATTATACACAGCTGACACGTCAAGATCACTTAAGCACACAACAATCACTAGTATCTGCACAAAACATCAGCAAGTAAACTGCTAGCACAGAGAAAACCTCTCTTCTGTAACAGTGAACTCCTATGGCTGCCTACCATATTTCCAAACATCACGAGAACAGGGAACACCACTGCCCAGCAGCCACCCAGGCTGCAGGGACACGGGTTGGAGGAAAGGAAGATAAAAAGACACAAACATACTCAGTCGCCACAGCTGCCCCTCCCACTCATACCTTCTCAAGGGATGGGAGTAACGCCTCATCCCCTATCTCCGCATTCCAGTCTTCCTCCATCGTGCTGCGCCCTGCCAGACCTGCCTGTAGGAGAGACAGAACTCATCAGCGCCCGCCTCCCGCCAGGCTTCGGAGCGTACCGCGAAAGAACAGAAAATGGCTCCCGGCAACGAGGCTCGCCGACGCCCAGGGGCGGGAGTGAGCGCGCCCGGCCCGGGCGCTGCGCTGGTGCGGATGGAGGAGGTGAGGGTCCTGCCGCGAAAAAGCACTCCGCTACCCTCAGGGCAGCCCCTCTCCTACCTCCTTCCCACGGTCACCAACACTACGCGCCGAAAGAAGATGGCGGCTAGCGCCGACAACCCTCAGTGCGGCCACATGTGCCGCTGCCGCCACGTCACGTGTCGCGCCCGACGGCCAATGGGCGCGCGGCGCGGGCGGGCTCCGCGGGCGCGCCCCGGCCCCTCACGTGCGGGCGCTGCGGCGGGAATGGCGCTGCCGAGGCGCGGCGGGCGCAGCGGCCATTTCACTGCCACACCTTTTCCAAGCATTAGCGGAATACCCAGCATGGGCTTCTGCTGGAATATTAAAAAAAAAAAAAATATGTAAAACAGGAAAAACAATACAAAATTAACTCCCCCGGACAACTCAAACTTTAGAATGACACCTCCTTCCCATTGTTTTTTTGTTATATCAGACTTGTCAGAGATAAGAAAGGTAGCTGAATTCCAGGCTCAGGATGTGATGCTGGAGTGGAGGAGAACATGGACTGCACTCCTATCAGTTCAGTTCATCTGCTAAAATCAGTAGCAAGTAGTCTGGCACTGCAACTTGGGTTTCCAAGCTACCAGTGCAGTGTCTTGTCTTCTCTGTACCTCTTTTCATGCTGTGAGATAACACAGCAATGCTTATTCATAAAAACATTAAGGAATGTCCTATGTAATTTCATAAAAATGGTAAAACACATTAAAACCTGCTCTACCATGTTCAACAGATTTTCCTTGTCAGAAAAACAATTTGAAAAATGGTGTGTCTGTTCAAGAACTTTAATGCCTTCTGTTGCAGAGAGAGTTGACACCAGATCTGTATTTCTGTAGTGAACATCAATGATTAGCAAGTGCTTTGAGCATCAAGGCAAATTCATGCAGCAGCTGGGAAATTTTGGAAAGTGGTCTTTGAACTAATGCTTTTGTTATTTTCGCATTAGCCATCATCTGTTAAACCCTACCCTTTGCAGCTGTTCATTTTTCAGGAGCATCCAGACAGGACTCAGGTTAGAGTGCAAAGTGGGTAAGAGACATAACCAGCTTCTCTGTCTCACAGTGAGGTTAAATCTGCACCTCTAGATTTTATATGTGTGTGTGTGCATGTGTGTATAATGTGCATAGTGATGGAAATTACCAGCTTTCAGTAAGTGTTCAGTCAGACGCATAATGTCCAAGGATGAAGAATCTGCAGTGGGAGCATCTCTGTGGGAAGTGTGTTAAGCTGTTCACAAGTTCCCAAAGCAGCACCTGAAACTAGCAGGGAGGCTCATGAGTAAAATATCACCCACTGTGGTAACCATTTTACTTTTTGCCTAAACAAGGAAGCAGAGTAAGCAGCTTTATGAGCCAAAATGGCTTCTGTTTGCTATTGCACTGGAGCTCTGTTTTGGATGGCCAGAAAGAAAAAGAGCAGTGTGTCTGTTCTCCTGAGAAATTTATGGTTAGTGGCAGATGTGCTACTCTGACACATCTAAGCCAAACTGAAAGCTTTCAAATTGTTTCTTCTACTTTCCAGGAACAGGAACCATTCCCTCAGCTTTGCCAGTGTAACTGTATGTTCCTCACTCCATACTCTTTAATAATACTTTTAATAGTAGGCATGGGGAGCTACTATGAATGCAGTCATAGTAGCAGATCTGTAATCCCAGGTGGGTAATCTCAGTTAATTTTAACTACAATCAGATGTCACAGCCTCTAATTAGTAGATAAACTTGGAGAGTTATTTTCTTTCCTTATTCCTTTGACTCTTTGTAGGACACTCTCTACTGCCTCCAGATTACTTTCCACTACATTAGGAGAAGCCAAACTATGACATTTTGTGAATGGGAAGAAATTACATGGTAATGGTAACTAATTTCTTCAACTCAGAAGATTCTTTGGAGAGCTAAATATTTTTTTCCCCCAACAACTGCTAACAATTCAATGTAAACCATGGTGGCAGCGTACAAGTTGCACAAGATGGTTATAGACTACCCTTGAGGTAATTTTACCCAACCAGCCCTACTCAAGCACAGTCACCTGCTTGAGCAAAACCAGAAAAAGTATTATCCAATATATGTAAACAGCATCTTATGTATTACATTCAAGCACAATATGGAGTTGCAACTAACCAGAAAAAACATACAGAAGTATTTCATAAGTACTTGTAAGAATTCACCCCAAGTGTGTGCAACTCCTTAAAGTGAGGAAGAAGAAACCAGCAATGTAATCATCATATTCTTCTCAGAGATAGGCTCCGGATGCTGATAACCTGCTGTAATGTCCCTTCCTCTAACCACTGCCCAAGAATGAAACCAGCAATCTCACAATCCAGAGCTGCAGAAGGGTGACCATAGCACCAAGAACAGGGGAAAGAGGCAAATATATGCATAAACCTCATTATTCTTTCTTTCTGTGTTACAGTGCTGGACTAATAATGATCTGACACATAGAATTTTGGTTATATTTTCAACAAATGATTGCCTTAGTTAAATGGCAGTATACTTTCTCTTTGCCAACAAACAAGATTTTGAGCATAGCATAGTTTCCATAATGTAAATGCTATCCGGATGTATTATCAGTATCTTTCAGAAATAAACCTGAAGTTTTCTCTAACAAAATGCAACACCCGTCCAAGTTTGTTAGCTATGTGACCATGCTCTGTTTCATCAATGGGGAGGGTTATTAATTCATCTACTATAATGTTCCATAATACCTCAATTTTATGAATTTATGCATATTACAATTATAATGGCAAGTGCAGAGTAAAGTATGCTTGAGGCAGTAAAAAGAAGATTCAACATAGCATAAGATGGAAATTTCTTAGAACTGGATTTAATACACCCCTTGTCTTACAGATTTGCCAAGAGCTTCAAAATTAGTTTAGGCTCCCATTTTTCTAGGCCCTGTCCAAGCACGTAGACACTCTTTGCCCAGGAGGTAATGTGTCATCAGAAGAGAAGGCCAGAACACAAACACTGCAGGACAGGGAGCAGGATGAATCTACTTCTTCTAGGCTTATAGTTTTTACAATAAAACACTTTTCCTAAGCATAACTCAAGAACTGTAGTAGGTGACCAAGAATGCAATGAAATACAGATCATCTAGCTGATATAGTATTAACTTATACAAATCTTTCACAGCACAGGACACAGAAGACAGGCCTGCAAGAGCGAGAGTAGAAGCTTGCAAGGTGAAAAAAACAGTTATTTACACACTTCTAGTTTTTTTAATTTACTTTCATAGCACCAGCACATGGTGTTAGCATTGCATTTCAAGTCCTTGTGATAGCAGCTGGGCAGCTGCTTGACTTATCGACCAAAATCTTCTAATGGCCAAAGCCCACAATGTACACTTGGATTCTAAGAGTGCCTCAGATGCTAAAGATGCTGATGAATTTCCTGGGTACAGAAGTAAGAGTTTTGGTCCCAATGAGTTTGTGTAGCTGGATTTCAGGATGATTCGTACTGTTAAGTCTCTGCTGCCTCATTTCCGTCAGCAGTCTGAAATCCAATTACACAGCAATTTTCTTGCAGAACAGTCCTGCAGTCCTGCTGCTAGCTGTACATTATGTTTTAGACTTTACTTGAACAGGAAGTACAGGGGGTGATTTGTGTCTAGCCTTTTTTTGTAATATTGTCACATGGGGAAGCTCTCTTTGCTGTCTTCCTTGCAATTCAGCAGTTTTTCCAAGCATGAACTGTAAATATCCCTAGATTGTGATAATAACCACGTTTTCAGCTATGAAAAGCTTATCTCAACTTGATTTAAGTAGTACCAAATTAAAACAAACAAACAAAGAAACAAACAAAAAACTCAGAAACAACCAAACCAAACCAACCAACCAACCAAAAAAACCTCCAAAAAAGAAAACAAAACAAACCAACCAAGGATTAAAAATAGTGAATTTCTATAATGTATTGCTGGGCATACTGTCACTATTGTTTAGTCTGCTGAGTGTGCTCTGTTCGGTGTGAAACACCTCGCTGAGCAGGTCAGGACGCCCTGGATACATCACTCCATAGCCAATCACGTGAAGACCAGCACGATTTGTCTTGGCAAGGGTCACTTATGGATTTTATCACTATATTGACCGCAAAAGCATGCAAGCAAATGAGTATGTGGGGGGGGTTTTGGTGTTTTGTTTTGTTTTGGTTTTGGTGTGTTTTGTCTGTTTGTTTTGTTGGGTTATTATTATTATTATTATTATTATTATTATTATTATTATTATTATTGCGGGGCGGCTCCGGAGGGCGGGGAGGCGGCGTCGCCGGTCCCGCTCCGTGTCCCACTCCGTGCCCCCACGCCGCCCGCCCGGCTCGGGGGCGCGACCTGCGGGGCGGAGGGGCCGGGCAGGAGCCGCGCCGGCCGCAGGCACTGACCAGCGGCAGGGCACTGACCGGCCACGCCGTGTTCGTGGGAACACGGGCAGATCGTCAGAGCGGGGGCGGAGGTACAGGAACAGCATGGAAGCTTTTCGGGCGGTCCGTGAAGCAGGGAAATGTTTACATCGGTTTTCGCGGGCCTGAGGGAGAACCCGTTAAGTAAAAACAAAAATCGTGTTTAAAATGTAAGTTAGCCTAAGGTGATAGTGTTTCGTTTCTGTAAGTATTTACTGCAGTGCCCACAAATATATACATTATACAAGCTTTGTCAGAGACAAATCTGGTTGAACATGCTGGGTTTTTAAAATTTTACTTAGATTTATCATTTGGCATGACCGTGTACCTGTTCATTCAGTCAGAGCTACACGAAAGCTCAGCAGAGGTTCGGCTTGTATGTTCAAGTCTTTTTTTTCCTCAAAAAGTTGCTAACTTAGGTTGCTTATCCAGTTTTAATCGCCTTTAACCAATGCAGTTGTAGGAGAGTATGGACAAGCTGAGGTGTCTATAAGGCGCCACAAGAGGCGGCATGCTGTCCCCGTTTTAAGGAGCTCTGAATGTATGCTGCTAGTTTAGTGACCAGTACAGCATCCTTCGGTCCCTTCTGACTAAGGATTCACTCCAGGAACTCGGGAACTGTGCTGACCTGTGTTGAACTTCTCGTCTTTCAGTGTAGAGTGTGCTTATTTCTCACATGTGCACAGCCTGCAGCTTACTTGAGTATTATGCCTTCAACTGTATTCATCCTGCTCAGAATTTAAGAGAAGACCGCATTACTCCAAGTGGCACTTTTAAAAAATAATTTCTGTGTTTGAACTAAATACTTTGATTAACAGATTCTGGGATTTAAACCATAAATGTGAGGTGCTTTTTAGAAATAGTGACTTCTAATAAAAAATTAAGTGTAAATACCTCTCAGTGGTCCAGTTGCTGTTTGTACAGCACCATGATGGCATGGAGGAAGCTGTGGGAGTAGTGATCCTCTCAGCCTTTCTCCTGCCTGCTGTGGGAGGTTCTCTGGTAAATACCAGCTAAGCACAGTCCGTGCTTATGGGATGGTTGTGATGATTGACTAACTGAATACAGTTTTGTTCCTGCCGGGGTAAACCTGTTTGCTAGCTCTCTTGCATGGCCTGGGCTGTAATGCTGAATCATCTGTCTCATCTTAAAGCTTTGTCACACACATGTATAACTGAGCCACAGACTTGTTAAATTCACAGTGAAAGCCAACTAATACAGTTTTGCTATCCAGTGCTAACGTCACAGGCTACAGTGAGGCTTCTAAATTTACCATATCCTTGTCTTTACTCCTTCATGCTTTTTAGACTTTGAAACTGGGTTTGGAGAACCTGAAGACAGTGAAAGCAGAAGCTCATAGGTCTGAGTCAGTGAGGATTAATGAAGGTCCAGTCCTCTTTAAGATTACCATCTAAAAGTCATGTGGAGTGTAGCTGAGAATGAGACTGGGGAAAAATAACTTGCACAGAGTTAGGTGTTGCTTCACAGTTTATGACCAGCAACAGGAAACCTGGATTATTAAATTCTGACCCACTTGTTTCCTTTTGCTGCCCTTCTGTTGTAGTGCTTCAGCTTGCGGAACAATAGAATGTTCTGTAGGCATAGATAAGAGAGAGATTAACCTGGTTAATTCTTCTTCATTTTGCTTTTCTGCTTACAGTTGTCCTTTAAACTACTGGCTCCAGCCCCAGCGTTCACGTGTCATAGCTTAATCTGTTTGTAGAGTAGCCAGTTTGCTGGTCATAAGCTTGCTGGTCATGAACTCAATTGTTATCAACAACAGGTACTTAAAAAATAAGCTGTCTTTGCAGACCCAGCTTCTAACTGACCCTAAAGAGTCAAGTGAGTATCAGCTCCACAAGCTTCATCATGCTGTCAAACCAAACTTAGTGTGTGATATATTTTGGAAGGATCATTTTTTTCATGGAATACTGTAAAAATATGGGTTCTTTCTTTACAGCAGTAGTGCAGAAAAAATCAAACTGTGATCACTGTTGTCAACATTTATCAGGCTGACTCGTAAAGAACAAATATTAACATATTGTAAGGAAGGGATGTGCATTTGATGCATGCTTAATCTGCCTCACAAACCATGGCCTGTGGAAGGAAGGGATGTCTATACTGTGGTCTTATGGAAGAGTGTGGCTAAAACCACTGACTATTTGGGATGTGAATTTATTTCAATTTTCAACTCAGGCATTAGGAATTATAATTTTTATCTGCATTTTTGTGGCTAGATCTGAAGTGTAATTTAAGTTCTTAAGAGAGATACAAAATGCAGAACAAGTGAGGGGGATAATGTTTTACACCTAGGTTTGTCTGTTCATCATATGAACACAGGATGTTCAGTTGAGAATAGAATAGAATAGAATAGAGTAGAATAGAATAAGGTAATGGCATATCTTAACTGGAGTCGCAGAGGACTGGGTGGTTGCCTATAGCCGTGTGTGAAATCTCTGGGGCCTGTGTTTTTGCTTCAGAATTATTTAGCTGTTGCAGGAAGTTCATGTGCACCAGGGTAAATTTTAACTGGAAGGGCATCAGCAGGGAGAAAGCAGAAAGCCTAGAGCTGTAGAAAAATAAGAGCAGGCAGTAGAAAAGAAGTGTATAAAAGGGTATCTGTAAAGAGAGTTTGGAGAGGAACAGCATGTCACATGAAAAGAAGTAAAAATATTGGTGTGAACTCTTTGTAAGTAGTGCTTAGTAAAGGTGGGTTGGATAAGCAATTTTGACAGTGTATAGGAGAGACAGAAAATAAAAAGAAAGTGAGGAGCAGAAATCCATTTGCTAAGCATTACCAGAGGAGCAGAGAAGATGAGAGCGTGCTTAGCTGGACCAAAGAGCCAGAAGCAGTATTGCTTGGGTAAGAAGGACTTCAGGGTGAAGAATCAGAAGTGATGTTTTTTAGAAGGCTGGAGTGGCAAAAGAGAGAAAGCAGTAAGTTAAGGGTGGTAAGAGGATCCCTTGGAAAGGGTCTGAAAAAGGTAGAGGAATAAAGCTTTAGGGAGTGTAACAGCAGAAATTAAGTGTAGGAGAAAGAATGCTGTCAGCAAGTGCAAGTAAGTGTCTTAGGATTGCCTTGATTATTAACATTTGCATATTGTATCCTCTCAAAGAGCTAAAGTGACCAAGATACAATCATTTCTTTAAACTCAAAATCATGCCTTTAAATTTAATAACTGTTCAAATCCCTTGTTGTGGATGTTGAAACTGCAAGGAATCTGTCAGCACTGCAAGATTAAATGGCTTCTATGGCACTATGCCCTCCCTTGTGCAGGCATGCAGGCATACAGATTACAACCCCCAAACTCAACACTGATGTGGGTTTAAAGCAAAAGACAGAATGGCTAATTTTCATCCATGTCAGTCCTCCTTGTCCAGTTCAGTGTGGGATTGCATAAATGCAATTGAGCTGTCAAAGCAGGACTTGAACTTTCAGTGCAATTTTCATAAACTGAGTCCTGTACTGATCCTCTGCCCTTGAGAAGAGAGAGCTATTACCTTTGTCTGTTTTCTAAAAAGTGCTTCCTTGGCAGGTTGAGCCAGTCTTAATGCTTCTGCAGTTCCTGCCACGTTGTCTATCAGTGTTTTCCTGTGCATCCTTCAGCAGTTTTTCAATCCAGGAGAGTAGATGTAGTAACTTTCATTTTTCATCCTCTCCTTCAGATTCTGTTTTGTTTTGTTTTGATTTTTTGGCAGGGGTATTGGCAGATAAGCTAATGGAAGAGGATTGACAGTGTGTATCTAGGAAGGGATAAAACTGTGTCTGCTTAACTTGGGTTGGTGTGATTTCTGAGGTTGGGCCTTTATGGTGTATTTCCATGAGGATGCAGAAGGATCATACACACCTTATTCTTTCTATCTTCCATTGCCATTCCGGGTTTCAAACAGCCAGCACTACCCTTCCTTGCCTTGTGCCAGCTCTGGTTGTCATCTGTCTTTCCATCAGCCTAACATTTTAAAGCATTCTGAAATGATGGAAGAACAGATACTTCTACCATTGCTGTTTGAAAGTGTCCTGGCTTCTGACATTTTTGTTTGAAGGAGTCCTGCCTGAGGAGATAGCAGAAATGAGTGCTGTTAAGCCATTGTTTTTGTTCAGCTGCACACAAGACCACAGAAAGTTCCATGTGAGGCCTTTAATTGAAACTGAGTAGAAATCCATTAGTTTAAAAAGTTGTCTGCTCCCCACTCTGCCAGGAATGGTTTAAATCCATATAATAGTTGTTATTAATGCATTATTAAACCATTTATTACCTTTCATTCAAAAGACCTGGACCCAGTAGACTGCAATGATCTGATCCTTATTATGGGAAATGTACTGGAACTGGAATAAACTGCATATGTGTCTGCTGCAAAGTTTGAAGTAATTTAGTGAAACAGTAGGCTCTTATAACTGATAGATTGTTCTCAGCAGTACCATTGCACATTAGAAATACAGCTCCTTTAGAAATTTATATTTAATTTATACTGCCTTGTTGTGGTGCTGAAAGAGATTTAGGGCTGGATAGCGTGTTTTAAAAAAATACTGTCCCCACCATATATGTGTCATGATATTTGCATTATGGAATAAGAATTCTCAAGTGTCATCTTGAAGTTATTTACTGTTGCTTTTCAGCCCAGGAACTTCTGAAACCGTGGGACTGTACCACTGTTAAATTCATAGGAGGGACATAGTTTTGCTTAATTCAGTGAACTTACTTCTTTTTTGTTCCTTTTCTTCAGGCTAGTGTAACTGACAGAATCTAAAAGGAGACATATTCACCAAATATGGAAGAGGATATCAAACCTATCTTGGTTCCTGTGGGAGGTGATGAAAGCAATTATGGAATCATGAATATACAGTTTAATCCAGAAGACTATAAGTGCAAAAGGTATGAGGAAAGATGAACCTACAGAATTATTGTGAGGCAAAGAGTTGTTTAATCTTTGCTTTTGGCAACAGAATCCTACAAAAACAGAAGATGAAAATTTGGAAGCCAGGATCTCTGTACAAACAGTTCCTACTTTGTCACTATATGATAGTATTTTATTTCCAAGCACGGGGAACAGCTGTTTTTACTATGTTTTGTTTATAAGGGTATGGTTTTTCTGTTGCCATCATTTCAGAGAGAGTTCTCCATTAAGAACTCATCATGAGGCTTTTAAAGTGATCTTCAAACACTGTGAATGTGTGTGTATAGTGGAGCATGATTTTTTTGTTTATTTAGAACAGCTAACTGAAATGTTGAGCCTATGCAAGCAAGTTTGCCTGATGTTGCTGTCAGTATGTGTAGATGGTTCTATATGCATTCTGCAGGTGATGCTGGAAAAATACATTATTTGGTAGTACTAAGTGAGCTGACTGACCTTTACTGCCTTTTAAGAAAAACAGTGTAGTGCTTTCTGTGAGTGAGCAAATGTGAAAAATTCGTCAGTCCAGCCTTATTACTGTGCCTTCAAAAATAATAACTCTGGCTAAGTTGCTATTTTACATGTTTTCTTAAGAGTTTAACAGAGGGGTTTGGAATGAGAGACTTCCTCTGCTGCAGTTAAGATTTTTGTGGGCTGGTTGTGGAACCAAAACTGAGATCAGAGTGGGACCTGCCCTCCTCATACTAGCTGAAGGCTTCAGCTTTGCATTTTTAGATGAAGGAATAGCACTGTAGCACCTCTTGGACCAGTTCATGGTTGATTTTTTCCTATTTGCATCCATTATATTTCAGTAAAGCAGTTTTCCTAAAAGAACTGAAGATGGCACTGTTGCATACAAATCCTGTTGACAGAGGCCGCTTCAGCAAGAAGAGTTCTTGAGGGTACTGCTTTGATGCTATCAGCCTCCAGCTTTGGAAAGCTGTGAGAGCCTAGATACATCCTCTTCTCTGCAAGTAAAGAAAGGAGGATAAGGGTCTAAGTGAATCCAGGGGAACAAAGTGAGCACAGGTCTAGAAGCATACAGAATTGCCTTTATAAAGGCTAGGATGTGGTAGAGTACTTGCAGATGACAAAGGCACCTGTGAATGAATGTAAATGAAATCTTTCTCTTTTTGTGGAGTATCTGATCCCTTCAAGACTGATAATTTGTAGGTATGGTTTTTGGGAGCAACTTGCTTTGGAGGAAGTATGTGTTCTTGAGGAGCAGTGGGTTTCGGTTGTTGTGGTAATGCAGTAGCAATAGGAAAGGTTTTTTGAAACACCTAAATGCTAAGACTCACTTTTCTAAGTGAGGTTGGGTATTGTTATCGTATTGTAGGGTTGGGTTTTTACCCTGTGATTTCTCAAGTCTGGCGACTTGACTTCATAAAAGTTCATAGCCTATGGCATTTGATTCCCTCACTGAAAGCAGAAGTGTGTACTTGGATCTGGAGACTCAACTTTATAAAAGGTCTTAGCCTGTGGCATTTGGTTCCCTTACTAAAAGCAGAATTGTGTACTTGGATTGTGTGCCACATTCACGGCCTCCAGTTCTGCAGATCTGCCTAAATGTCCTTACTGCTCCTCTCTTGAATTCTTTCTCCCATTTTCCACGACCTAGCCTTTTTGCCTTCCAGGTATGCAGAGGCACAAGGATGAAGGGCAGGTGGCCTGGGATATCAGAAAAAGGCCTGGAAACAGTAGAGGAGTCAAACATGCTTGAACTCCACTTCTGTATTCCACTAGAATAGTCAGCCCTCACACTTCAAAAGAAGAAATAAGGAAGAAGAGGCAATTGGACTCTGTGTCAGTCGTGGTCAGAGCAAGTGGACAGTTTGAAGGGCTTCTTCATTAAACCTTCAGGGAATAGTGGCTCCTGGGAAGGAGAATTGTTAGGCATTAAAGTATCCAACAGTAAAAATGCAGTAGTACAATGCAGTGTGTTTTTGCTCTTTGTTCCTGTTTTTTACCTTGGTGTGCAGAAACTGTGTCCCAAGTGAATGCTTGGTAGCTTTGCTTTGATTGAGATAGCTCTTCATATGTTGTGTGTGATTTGTAGTAATTACTGTTTGTCTGTCTTAGTGCTGTTCTATACTTTTGTTTGGATTGTTTGACGTTTGAGGAATTTGCATAGTTATCTGGTTTTCTTAACAGCTTGGAGGATTTGGGATTTTTGAAAGGAATGCTTTTCAGTGTTTACATAAGAACAATAAGCTGATTGGTTTTTAAGAGTTGTAAATTACAGTACTACTTGTGTAGTATTGTTTTGCTAATTTGAGGGAAATATAAAGCCACTTTTAATCCTTTTAAAGAGAATGTTATTGCTCTTCTCTCTTCACCGTATTCAGTGTATTTTTCCCATTTTGTAGCTCCCTTTAAAAACTAGAATATCGTTCCTCTATTGGCTTATTGGTGATTATTTTGTGGAAAAGAGGGTGTTTCTTGTTTTCTTCAAACTGCTTTTTAAATCTGTTCAATGTCAACAGATACGGCAGTTGTCAGTCAGGAATACTTGAACCTTCAAAGAAGCAATTGATGTTTGTGCTGGTTCTTTTGCATATCAAAAAAACTTGACAATGCCTCCTGCTAAAGAGGGATCAAACCTTCCAGCTTTTTTCCTACTCTTTTTGAAGGCCCACAGGTTCCCAGAATGTAGGAGGCATCAGTAAGTGAAATTAAACAGCTGTAAATTAAACAGTGTCTGTAGACGGCAGTCAGAGAAGCCTTTTTAATGCAAAAGTGGTTGATTCCCTTTATTTTCAAAGTTCTTTTAATTTAGGAGAAGGTCGGCAACCTGTGCAAATCTGTCCTTTCTGCCTTCATTGTACCTTTACCACTCCACACCAACGTGATCATTTCATACCATTGCTTGCTTTCCCTATTTTTCACTGGTTTGCTATTTTGCCAACATTTTTGTGAATTCCTAGTATTGCTTCTTACTAATTGAAAAGAATTGTGACCTTAGTGAAGAACCTTCATATTTCTTGATACGTGATGAGTAAAATAGCTTTTGTCTTTTACAGAGAAGAGGAGTAGTGATTGAAGTGTGTAGTGTGGTAAAGCTTGTGATTCCTAATTTGTTAAAATGTGCAAGCAATGACATTATGCTTCAAAAAAGTTATTTTAGTTCTGCATCCAGCATTTTAAGAAATTTGTGTGATCATGCTGTAGTTACTATAATGGTGATATAAATGCAGAAAAATGTAGGTAAAGTGTATTGCGAAGAGAATAAAGATCTTACAAAATAACTGTAAGCACACTTTAAAGTATGTAAATTCTCACAGTAAATTTCAGTAAATTCAGAGAGCTTAGAAAGTAAAATCCAAATCACTTGTGGAATTCTTTGATACAGATTTCCTTAAGAGAAGCACACTGATATCTATAATCAGAGAGGATCCTGAGTTGAAACAGGACCACAGGGATCCTCATGTCCAACTCCTGGCCTTTCACAGGAGATCCCCAAGAACCAGATCATGTACCTGAGACTGTTGTCCAAATGCTTCTTGAATTCTGACAGGCTAGGTACCATGGCCAGTTCCCTGGAGAGCCTGTTCCAGTGCCTGGTGTTCCTATCCAGATACGTAGTTGCCAATTATGAAATACCTGTTCTTATTGCTTCTCCTTTCCTTAATTTCCAATACAATGAATCAGTTTTACTGATTTGTCTTGTGCCATTTGCAGCATTCCTATAATAATTTGTTAACTCAGTAAGGCAATAAAGCTATAGGAATTTTGTGGCTTTATTTCTCTCTACAATCCTATCACATCCCTAAAAAGTAAATTATTGATGTGGGGTGTCAAAGAAATCTCTGCAGTAAGATAAAGTGGCTCCTTGTGGTGTGTTTGGAGGAAAGAAATAGTAAAGCATTCTGTAAAGAAGGTTTTTCATATTTGTTTAAAAATTAAGAGCTTGTCTAAAGTCATTAATGCTGTCCTGTAGAGCTGAAAGACATAATGGTACAAAAAAACTATTACAATAGCTGAATACTTACCATGTTTTTGATCATATCTCAAGAACCAGTTGTTTGATGTTTAAAAATACTTCAGCAAAGGTACTTGAAAAGCAGTATTATTTGGTCTGAAAGTTCTTGAGGTATGTATTAGTCTTACTCTTTCATTGCCCTACAAGATGTAGTACATTGCTGATAATTACATAAGATGAATGTAGCACCCTTATACAAAATTTTACATAGTTGGCCAGTGTTATTGTTACGCTGTTCTGTCTAGCCCTCCAAATCCAGCACTTGAACTGTGCTTATCACAAGGGAACAGTATTAATCATGAGCCACTCTTTTCATTTTCTTTGCTCGCAGAATTGCTACTGAAGTTAAAAATGTGAGGAAGGTTTGACCGAAGCACTCTTCTTTCTTTTCCTGGACCAGCTCTAGCAAATTATTATTAACTGTCCCTTTGTGTGAGCAAGAAAAGATGAATGCAGCCGTAGGTTTTCTGGGAATGGTTTCTGAAAAATACACCTGCTGGGTGTAATGTATGGAAGATGTGGACCTCCTGCATGAGGTCCTGCAAGTTGTCCATTTTCATGGTCCTGTGGAAGACAGCTCTGTTTTACTGGTGTGTTTGCCCTGGTAAAAGGGCGCTGTTTTTCTGGCTAGCTGCTGAAACAGTAATTGTAATTGTGTCTTTCTGTGTGTATGAAATTCAAGGGCCTTTATAGTTTATCTCAGTACATGGAAATTGTCTGCATTGTTTCACATCATAATCACAGCCATGTAATCTCTCCCATTCCCCCTGATCACATTGTCCAACTTTTCATTGTCCATTCTTTTCATAAGCATTTTGCCACGTGAGAGATAGTATATAATTGCCTGTATAAATCAGATTTTTAATAGGAATGGGTTGTACCTGCTAATACTTGCATGTGCTTGCTAATACTTGCTAGTGCTTGCCTGCTAGACATAAGGTCCCTAAACAGAGTTTTTCAAAATATATCCCAAATTGCATCCTACCTGCTTTGGGCTTTGAAAATCTCAGTCTTCGCTGGGAGCACTACCTTGACCTTGATCATGAACAGGATGCTACCCTCTCCTAGTGGAGGTCAGGGTAGGTAAGTATCAGGCCTCCCAGCCTGCTCACACAGCTTCTAAGTCAGATTGATGTTTCCAAAGAGATATGCAAATGACAAAAAATTGATTGGTGGTCAGTATGTTTTAGCAGTCACTTGCTCAGCAGGGCTAGTGGTGCAGTGGTACCCTGGAAGAAATAAAATTAAGTGGTGCTTTACATAATTTTCATTCTCAACAGGTGCACAGTAGCAGGGATCAAGAGGGGAAGTAGCCCATGTACTGGCAACAATAAACATACACATTCCTCTAATCAGGACGCAGAAGCAATAGGTACATACAATTTCATAGGGATTGTTTAATTTGATTTTCTTTTCCTCACCCATAGATTAGATTCTGGATCATACCCTTTTGTTTTGTGCTAGACCATAAATTGTTTGTTTAATCCAGATTCTGTTCATAATTCTAAAGAAGATGAAATGTCTTTCTTTAAACAATTTCTTACCTACAGATAGGTTTTTACTATACATAATTTATTTTCTTTATATTTGTTTGGTCATTGACAACACTGCTTTCCCCACAAAATAGGATGTTGTATGCATGTTTTCTTTTACTTTAGTTTTAAAATCATCCTTGGATTTCACCTGCATTGCTTTAGAAAATAATCTCTGATTGTCTTTCACTCTGGAAGAATTTTCTTTGACATCCATGCTAGCAATTGTTGAACACCATTTTGAAAGAAATCTTTGTCACAGATCTGCCTACTCACTTTTTACCAAAATGTGGATTTGTCTCACTGTAACCTTTCCACAGTTGCAGTGGAAGTTCATTGGGATGTACTAATGATATTAAGTGGAGATGAGGAAAGAGAGAAAGGTCTTCACACTATGCAGTTGTTGTATAATTAGCAAAACACATACGTATAAGTGTTCTAAATATACTGCATGTCAGCAATCCAAAAAGAAAATGGCAAAGAGCTGACTGGAGGTGGGGCAGCATTTAAACAAGTTTATACAAGTTACTGTTCCTGTTTTCATGACTGCAGTCTTTATTTTACAGGTCTTCTAATGAAATATTTTTTAGCTGTGTCCAGTGGTTTGCTCAACCTAATAAATTTTAAGCTAAAATGAGTAAAGTCCTTTGGAACTGAAAGTCCATGAGTATTTTTGTATATTACCTACATGTGGAGTCAGTTAGCCCCATGAGCCTGTGTTTTGAGTAGTAAAGCTATTGCTTAAAATTTGTTTCTGTTAAATTGAGATATCTTTCTAAATTGTTTATAAGAACACCACGAAAGTGCACACATAAAACACATATTTCCCCCATTATGTCATAATCATAGGAAGAAGAGTCAATTGAGAATGTTTTAAAAATTTAAAAGTGTTCATTTTCATTTCAGTAAGTAGGAGACAACTTAGCAAATCTAAGCCATTTTTTTCCATAGTGAAGGAATATGTAAGAATTAATTAAGTATAAGATAAAAGAAAGAATGAATGTGGGGAGATGGAAGTTTGTGTTCTCTATTTTCCCCTCTTGTGAGTCAGGTTTTCTTACTTTCATAGATACTCCCATCTACTGTCTCCCCTTAAGTACACAGGAATAGGAATCTGTCTTCCTCTCTTACAAAGACAGAGCAAAGAACTTCAGAACTGTCTTTCTTATCTTCCTTACAGATAACATGTGGTGTCATAGTACAAATGCATAAATGATTCATTGGGAAAAAGAATGGAAACTTCTTTATGGATGATATTGAGAGCTGGGGTTGGAGGGGCTGCCCAAATTCCATTGTAGCGTGAAACAGAAATGGGTATTGAAAAGCAGTAAATTCAAATAGATTTTGCTCATATTACAGAATAAATGGCATGGCTTTATTGCTGACCTAGTTTCTGTTGTTAGCAGTTGGAAGCTTGTTGTGATCTCTGCTTCTCTGTGCTTTTGAGTGGTTTAAACATCAACCTGGAAGAGGAAGATTGGAAAGCCGTTGTGGTAGTTTTAGAAATTAAATTACTGCTGAAAGAAAAAAAAAAGCTGATGTATTAAGGCTTAGAGGACAGCAGTGTCCTATGTCTCGTTTGAGAAATTAGCCTCTCAGTGCTAGGAGTCAATGTTGTTTTTATGCAAGAGCATAATATGGAAGTAAATTATACTAGAGTTAGAAAAAGAATCTGAGCAATATCATGATTTGGACACATTTGTCTGGTAGTGCTCCTTGCATGAAGGTGTATGGTGATGTAACTTTAGGAGCAGCTTTCACTGTGCATGCTCTGTACCTCTGTGTGCAGAGAACATGAGGGGCATGTGCTGTTCCTGTTTTCTCCTTCAGCAGCCGTGACTGTGCCTGCAGTCTGACTCTGGTGCAGTAGAGGAAAGGGAGACACAGTGCATTCCTCGTTGCCTTGACTTAAAAATATATATGAGCACATGGACTTATTTGGGCCTGGTTCCTTCCCCACTAAACACAATTCCATATGGTGTTTTCAGCTAGATTAGTAGTTCCTAATCTTTTCATATGTGGTCATCACTGCCACCACTCATTCCTGTTTCTCTGGTTCTGCATTCTCATGCTTTCTGTTTCTACCTCTGTTTCTCATCACTAGTTCTGGCAACACCAGTTATAAGCACTAATATATGAGCTTGCCCAAGCTCATTAACATGTATTTCTGTGTGTGATTTGTTGTTGAAAACTAACAGCTGGATATTAGGTCTGATGTTAAGTTGCTCCACAGAATCTGGGCTGGAGGCCATTTTAATATGGATATAAACTCACAGTTCTTTCACAGATGGCAGCTTCCCTCAATGGCATTGATGGATATTTTTTCATTTGCCTTGTGTCAATGAATGGCAAAACCATCCTGAGTATTGCTGAGTTGTTCTCTGAGTTGTATCTTGTGTTCCATGATTTTAAGGGTTTTCCTTTCTTCCCTTTTTTCCCCCTCCTTTAGACCATTTCATGTGGAGCCCACAAACATAGTCAGTGTGAATGATGACATGCAAAGAGTCACTGATGAAGCTTCAGCAATGAATAAGCGGATTCATTACTATAGCAGGCTCACATCCCCTGCAGACAGAGCATTGGTAAGGCAAAGACAGCCTCATTACTGGGTGGCCTCTGACATGTTGGGTCTTACACAGCCTTCATTTATATAAGCAGCAGAAATAATGTTTGGGGGAAAATTGTTCTGCAGTTTGCTTTGAATCAAGTATGTGGTAGCTGAGTGCCTTCAAGAGGTTTTGTTTTATCACAAGTTGTTATTTACTTCTTGTGCAATGACTTCACCATTAAAAGAAAATATACAAACAGCATTACTTTTATAACAGTGATCCAGGCTGCCCAGTTTTCTCCCATCTATAAGATTAAAGCAGTGGTCAGCTGCGGTAACTGCTCTGTTGAGCTAGCAGGTCTGTTCATAGTGTATTTACACACATTTTGTAGAAGAAAAATGCATTTTTCTAGCTATCTAGCTAGAAATTCTGTCAACTGTTTGCTGGGCTTTTCCCCCCAGGAAGAGAATTAGCATAGTACAACCTTCTCTTTCTATTTTTTTTTTTTTTTAAATTGTAATTTCCTGTGACTTACAGTAGTTGACTTGCTGTGTTTGGGACAATTAGTTACACTGACGTTACTAATACATCTTGGTTTTTTATCCATTTATTAGATTGCTCCTGATCATGTCCTCCCAGCTCCTGATGAAATCTATGTGTACAGTCCATTAGGAACTGCTTTCAAAGTTGACAGTTGCACAGATGGCTATGGTAAAAACTCCAGTCTAGTGACAATGTATGTTAAACACCTTGCTATATAATAGCCATAAAATGCATGATTATTGAATGTTCTGTATTAATAACATAACTGTTGTTAACTAAGACAAGCATGTGAAATAAGAATGGTTCTTAAAATATTCACTGGATTTTTTCTTCCTAGATTTATGATATGGAATACCATGATGGGTACATCCATATTAAGTATACCATGGGGAATAAAACAGGTAAACTATGAAGAATATATGCATATGAAAATGGTTTTGGCAACCTGGCTTACTCTTCGTTTTGTAGTATATTCATAAATCAAATGAACTGTATTTCTCCCTCTTAACAGGCAGGCTTCACTTCTGGAATTGTTCTCATCTTACTGATGGGCATTTTGACTCTTTATTGCTGTTACAGAGTTGTGAAATCACGGCAAATGATACGTAAGAAATCCAAAGCTGCATCATGCAAATACTTTAAGTGTGAAATACCAATATGTATTAGATTCTGTTTGTATGTGTCTTTACTATATGTTAGACCTGACCTGTAAATAAAGGCTGTTCTATGAATATCTCTATTTTTGTAGTCTGTGTCTAAGCTCTGTGTGCTAAATGACTGTCTTCCCTTATTAGATATTCCTTCAGTTTCTTGGGACCTGGGTATTATAGCCAAACACAATCTCTTCTCAAGCAGGGTTTCAGATGTTCACTTACTAAGTTTCTGGGGACTTTGGGAGTTAGAGGCATCTTTTCTCCATAAGCACTGTCCAGTTCTCTACACGTCTGATAACTTGCACAGTGGAGCAGCATGGACTGTAGCTGTATCTCCTTGTGTTGTGTGCCTGTATTACCCTAATATTTGTGTGTATTCTGTGTTGAAAGCCCTGTAAGTACTATCAGCAGCTGAAGCAGTCACTGACAGCGGCTCTAATTAGAATGTACTTTTATTGTTCAAAACTCACCTTGGGGCTCTTCTTTGGTTGGTGCTTTTGTGCATAAACTAACATCTCACTTGCTCAAATAAAGGCCATTAAGACCTTTGTCAGTTTGTGACTGAACTAATTTCAGAGCAGAGGAATAGGTTGAGGAATAGTTCATAGTCTGGCCTACTTTGCCATAACTTCTGCAAAAGGCTTTAGCTGCAAATGCATAGTGGCATTTTTGCCATGTCTTATTTCAGTGCTTCTGAAAGTATTCAAAAGTAGTAGTATGGGCCCAATAAAAGTGTCTACTTCGGGCTTCTTCATTCAAACATTTAATGAGTGCTATATTTTAAAGTTACTTGCAATTTTCTTTGTACTTGAAAGCACCGTGAATGTGTGTCAGAATATTCTTAAAAAAACCCACATTTTGTCCTGAATAGTTCTACTGACTCTAGTGTAATATTTTGTTTAGATATATTTTTGGTTTTTGTGTCTTTTTCAGCTTTAACTGATACCTCAAACTGGGAATTCCCAGATGTTTGCAAATATTATTTTGGATCCTTTGGTCAATGGTCAAGCCTCTTATTTTCTATGGTATCACTTGTTGGAGCTATGGTTGTTTATTGGGTACTGATGTCCAACTTTCTGTTCAACACAGGGAAATTTATATACAGTAAGTATACATTCTTGTTTAAGTTTTACAGCAATCCTTTGTAAAGATCAAGACTGCCTTATACTGAAAAAGGATTGTCCATTTTACATAATCTTGTTTTTCCTGCTACATTGTGTGAAAAATCAATTAGAATAAGTAACTGTGTGTGGTGTTACAGGCAAAGTCCTCTGTGTTGTCAAAGCCACTTTTTCAATTTCTCTCTCAAAGTGTAGTTTTCTTGGTATAGTTTAAACAACCTAAACCTGGCTGCTTGTTTCCACTGTATTTTCACTCCCCCTTTGTTTGTGTGGGTGTAACTATTTGAACAGCCATGTAACAGGCTAGACTGTTAAATGATTCAGGATAATGAAAAAAAACACAGTTCCATTATAGATTTCAACAAACACACTTAAAATATTGCCATATAGGAAGTTTTTGCAAGTGTCCATTAGGAAGCAGTGAACGCTATTGAAGTAAAAGTGATTCTTAGTGTGGCATTGCTACAAAATAGAACACATTGGGTTTTTATTCCCTGGTACTTGCACAGGCACACAAGCATTTGTGTGTGTAATCAGTGTAGAATTGTGGGAATTGATGATGGAATTGAGAGCTTTGAAAATCTGACTCATTGAGTAGCTTGACTTGTTGAGTAAGTTGACTAAGATTTAAAATATTCTGTTTTGAGGGTTATCTCTGAGGCAAATAACAGCACAGACAGTTAAGCCTGTTAAACAGTGTTTAATTAGAATTCCCGCTATCCCTATAGGACGTACTTTACCATATTGGTTAATGACTGATGAATTTTATAGCTGACCTAATTTATATGTTGTTACAGACATTTATTTTAGACTTTGGGGTTTTTTTTTTAAAGTTTAACACTTTAAACTTAAAATATTCTAAATTAAATAATGACAGTTCTGATAAATGGCATTATTATTATAAATGGCATAAATAAAACTTAAAATGGTGAAAAGATCTTATTTTCTAGGAAAAAGTCCTGCTTTTCCATAGGACTGGCATGTTACTTTATCCCTTACCTATATTTGTTTGGAGTTCTTAATTAAGTTGTACAGTCTGAGATCACTAGCTTCTTGTCCTAACTTTCATACTTAATTACTAGGTAATAAAATGGATAATAGGATGTAGGCTTGACACAGTGGCATCTTCCAGCCACGTGTTTCTAAGTATTCTAAGCAGGAATTCAGTAAGTACTCTTAAGTATTCAGCAGCAGCTTATATTTTGTTTAATTCTAGTACATTCGGATGACTTCTTAAAACATCTGCACATACAGTTTAGGTGGGGAAAAATTGATTTTCTGCAGGAAGATGGTCTAGAAATCTGTAGGACACAAAGAATGCAATAATTGTTAGCTGAGTGCAATATCATGTCTTTAACATGGTGTTGCATGGTCTTGTTCATTTTCTGTTTTATGGGAAAAACAAGATCCACAAATGAAATTGCTAGTGCTAAACTTCTTTTTAAATACAGAAGAAACACAAGCTGACATCTATAACAAATTTGAAAGTGCTTTAATTCTGTAAAAGCTATTAATTTTAATAGCTTCTCACTAGGTACTTTTTTTAAAATTAAGAACACAAAATTGTGATTTTAGTTAAATTTTCTGATTTTTTTATATTCTGAACTAGTAATAATAAGTATGAGAAACTTGTTTGTGATTCAGGGTGTCATAAATCAAAATAAAGAAAGAGGAAATGGTTTTCTTCCCACAAGACCTTTTGCTGTCTTTATGAGAAACAAGCTGCTGTTAATTGCATTTAAAAAATCTGAAACCAGCTGCTCCACTTGATTTTCTGTGCATAACATGCCCACATGCAACAGAAGCAGAATTTAACCAGTGACACACTAATTTGGTTTCCAAGCTGATGGAGCATTTTCTGTGTGTATATAGACACATAATACATAAATATAATGAAATTGCTATCCAGTACCCTCGTAAAGGTGAGGTTGCGGAAACTTGGAAGTAACTGGTGTGGTATATCAGTAAAGTAGCACAGGAGTGTACTGGAAGTAAACAGTGCTAGAGATGCCTGTACAACAGTGAGGCTTTAACCTTTCTCCAGGGTTTCCCATAGAAACATGGAAAAAGCATCCCACAGAGCCTCTTCTGAAAAAGAAAATATTAGTAAATTATTAAGGGAAGCTTTTTCTGCATAATACTGTCTGGACTAGGGCTATGTTAGTATGCCCTTTTTTTCTGTCCCAAAAGAGGCTGGATTTAAGATGCATCTCCTCACTGGCCTACTGTTCAGCACTACTGAGTAGCTGAGAGAAGTGGAGGTGTGCTTGTGGAACAGGAATCCTGGGAGTGGGGAGTCTTTGGAACTTTATAAATGAACAGGGCTTCTGAGAAGAAAGTAATATAGTGTAGAGCTACTTTAAAACACTTGTACAGTAGTTAGGAAAACTTTCAGTTGGGTCTTGGGGGGAGTGAAAGCTGCTGTGTTGTTGCTCTGATACGATTTTCCAAAATATTTTTTTACTTAATTTCAGTCAAGTCAACAGATGAAAGCCTAATAACAGGTATGGGACATTGATTGTGAGATTTTCTTCTTTGCAGACTTTGTTCATGACATTAATGTAACAGATATTGTTCCTGGCACCAATGGAAGTAACAAAGGTAAGAAGTATTTGCAGTATTGTGTTACCAGTTTTGGGTGGAGGTTTAAAGGCAAATCATGGTGTTTCAATGCCTAACCACATGCCAGTTATAAAGTATATATCATAAGTTCTAGCTGTGTGTTTCTTAAAAAACTAAATTTCTGTCTAGGATTTGTACTTCCACAAATAACCACACACTTGGAGATCTGAATAACTGGGGAAGTAAAAAATAAGTTTAAAAAGTGGAGGTGAGAATAAGTATTAAAGAGCCAGTTACAAGTTTCTGTATGCCCAGATGCATCCTCCTTAAAAGCTTTACTGTTAACTTTTTAACAGTAGTTGCACAATGAGGAATTGCCTTAAGGAATTTTAACTTTCACACCCTAAATTTGAGGCGCCTTAGTTCTGTTTACTGGTTAAAATCTTGGCTGGGGCAACTTTACTACTCACAAGTTGTGCAGCAAGATTATTTTTTTAAAAACTTACGTAAGAACAGTTTTTTTGATGCTGGGTGCAAAAAAGAATCAAGTGTCAAGCGACTTGCACCTCTGCTTGTGCTTTTTGGAGAGTGTGACATTTGCACAGCTAAGGGAAGAAACTGCAGTCAAGTATGAACATAGATCTGTTCCAAGTTCTTAAGTGTAGGCAGAATAATGTAGAATGAAGGCAGGAGCAAAGCAAGGCAGGCATTGTCAACCCCTGAATCTTTTCTGCCTCTGTCACAGTGACTGAATCTGTACTGCGTTCTTCGGAAGCAGAAAGCTTTCTCTATCCTGAGTGCATGAGGAATGAGGAAACATATCACTGCCGGCTGGGCAGCTGTGTGTAACACTAGCTGCAGCTGTGTTTCTGGAGAACAGATGTTGGAGTCAGGCAAAGGAGTTGAGAAACAATTCTGAAAACCAGTTTATTTGTGTTTGAGCTAGTGTTGAATCCTGCTCCTGTGACAGTCCTTACCAGCTAGGCACCAATTTGTACGCTCTCTTGCTTCTGCTGTTCTCTCCCATGCTTATGCAGCAGGGGGTATAACTTGGAGGCAAAGTAGACAATATTCCACCCTATCCTCCACCAGCTAGAAGATTTAAAGCAGCTGCTACGCAAAATTAAGGGCTGTCAGATGTTCAAGTGACTCTTGACAGGACATTCAGGAGATCAGTAAGAAAAAAACCTTTCAGAATGCTTTTTATGCCTTTGCCTTTTTGGCAAGAACAGGCATAGAGACAGTGTAGGATAGTAGCTATCGACTATTGTGGGATGCCAAGATTTTAAATAAGACATTATGAGAACAGTAAGTTTTATATTTCAACACAGAGCTTGGTAGGCATGTGTTCCTCAGAGGGTCTTTTTGGTTGATTTTTTTCCGATCACTTGTTCAGGTGCTGCCATGGATCAGCCTCCTTGTAAGAGGAGTATGACATTCCCTCTTAGCACTGTTACTGGAGCACATCTTAAATTTGTTTTGTTGTGTTGTGTTGTGTGGCAGTGACGTACTTGGCCCCTGCCATGGCACAAAGATGAGAAGACTGTTCAGTGTATGGGTTTTCAACCTGCCAGTTGTTACAGTAGCTTTCTTGTAATCCTTAGTTTGTTTTTAGAGCAATTTACAGTAATTCAGGCTTTTCAGTGCATTTGGATTTTGGTTGATATGATCTTACTGAAGTATGCAGGGACAGATTAGAATGCTAAATACGCAGCCAGATGCAGGGGAGCGTTGCTATGACTTGATTCCAGCAGGTGCACATGGGCACTGAACAGGCTTCATTATAGGTATGTGACTTAGAAGGGTGATCCTGTGTCACAACTTGGGCTTCAGATAAATTATTATCTTTGTTGTGTTCCGCTGGGAGAACTATACCACTGTCAGATTAGAGTGCAAGATGCCTAGCAGTGGAATCTTAACAATGAATTCTTGAATAAAAAAACAAGAGAAGTTAGGAACTGAGATACTGAACACTGCACTTGAGCAGTCCTCAGTAGAAAAAACACACCAGTAGTTGTGGGCTCTTGGCTCTGAATATTCTGTGCAAGTAAAACCCTTTTCATCTGAGGATATTTTTCTTTTCCTTTCTTCCAGTCATTTGTCCAAGTGCTGCTGGTGATCACCCACCACAGAACAGGAGTGTGATGTTCTCTTCTGGCAACAGAACAGGTTTTGAACTCTTTGAGGAATGGTGGGACAAATCAAAAACAGTACCATTTTACCTGATTGCAGTTCTTCTACCCCTGCTAAATCTGAAGTCTCCGTCATTCTTTGCGAAGTTTAATGTCCTAGGTAGGTAACAGATACTATTAAAGTATTGGTTCCCTGTGGCTGAAGTGTATAGAAGACAGTGAAAACTACTCCAGTGAGTAGAATCAAAAAATCTTTTACATTGAAAAGTCTGTAAAGTTATTGAGTGCAACTGTTAACCCAACACTGTCAAGTCCACCACTAAACCGTGTCCATAAGTGCTACATCTGCACATTGTTTAATACGTATAGGGGTGGTGGGTCAATAATTTCTCTGGACAGCCTGTTCCAAAGCTTGACAACTGAGATGAACATTTTCCAAATCTGAACATTCCGTAGCACAGCTTGAGGCCATGTCCTCTCACCCTGTCTCTCACATTGTCAGCCCATGTTCAGCTGCTGTGAATCAGCACCTCCAGATCCTTTTCTGTTACGCAGCTTTCCAGCCTCTGTTCCAGTATTTTGGTGGCAGCCCATGTTGTGCCTCAAAGTGAGTTGTTGGTTGGTTTATTAACCCCAACGGCTTTGTCTGCTGCTTTGCTTGAATCTTACAGGTACTAGAGAGTTCATTTTTCTTCCTTTTTCTTGCTTGATAATACTGTGAAACAAATTCCATTACATCTACAACAGATCTTCCCAAATGGTTCTATGCATACTACTGTGCAGCATTTGGTACATGTTGCTTTGGTGTAGTCAGGCATACTGTTCCTCCTCTGGTAAACATTTCAAACCAGCAGTTGCTTCTGATCTGAAGTAATTTTCTGCCAGTCAGGTGATTAATTAATCACAACATCTTTGTCCCAACTTCCAGTATTGTGGATTCTTCTGTGCTGCAGAGGAAACAATTGTGACTTGCTGCTTAAATGTCTTGAGGTGGAAGGCCAAGGTGGGTGGGGCTGGTAAAGTGAGTAAAGCGTATGCTTGATGGGTGGAGCTGGTCACAGTTAGGGAGTAGAAGATGGCTGAGCGGTAGCCTTGAAGCCCACAATGAAGAGGAAGAGAAAACTAGATGTGCATCAGAGGTTGAAAAGAGGTAGAGGACAGGGATTTGAAGGTCTAGTTTGTTCATCTGTTCCATAGTGGCACTTTATCAGAGCTTGGATCTGCTCCACTAAATGAAAATACCACACGGGAATTTGGGTACTTGATACTGCTTCTGTTCAAAAGGTGTGGGATTTATATAAAAAAAAAAATAATTTAAAAGCCAGAATATTAATTATTCATTGCTTCAGTAGATCATTATGTAATTCAGAAGCGGTTCAAAATTACCTTAATTTTTGTAAACCTTGAAGTTTATGGGACAAGAAAAAATGGAAGGCAATTTTGAGACGATGAAATTTATCTCAGTAGAGTTTTACTTATTTTGATACCTGTGAAAACAGAAGTCATTAGGAAACTACAGAGTATTTTAGCTGATCTTCACATACAGGACCTTTTATTTTCCTAAATTCTTGACTGTGCTCAAGATATTAGCAATCAAATGATAATTCCTTCTGTTTATTTTTTAACCTCGCTGGGTTAAAATGATGGGGTTTTGTCTTCACTTACTTACAGCCAGTTCTCTGCTCACTAGCAGCATTATTGGCCATGAGGTTCATTGTGGTAGCCTTAATTATTGTTGTTCAGTTTCCTTCAATTTTTAGGTAGTTACTATTCTGCTCTTGTCTCTTTCAAATGGCCTGACACAAGACCATATACTCTCCATTCCACAGCAATTATACCCACCATTCCAGGTATACACAGCAAGGCATTATGCCCATGTGTGATGTCATTTGTAGTCCTTAAGCTGTGCAGGTGCCTCCTGTATGCCTCTTAACCAATGAGATGGAATGCAAATCCAGTATTACAATAAACATTATCCAAAGTTACAATTAACACAGTGTTTTAATCAGTAGTATTGAAGTGTCATTATCAACTTCTAGCTCCCAGTGTAAAGTTCACAAGTGCAGTAATTTCACTTTCCATTGAGCTGTTTGATTCAAAAAGTCAGTTACTAGATTAACATTGTAATAGCTGGAGTGCTATAATCAATCTCCACCTAGACTGAAATCCTGGCAGTGGAAGCTGGGACTGGTCTGTTTGCCTAAAGACCTACCTGCCCAGCAACAGGGATTACAGGGTACTTCCTCTGCTGTCACCAGCACCTGGAAGGTATTAAACTTGCTGGAAGTTTACAGTGTGTGCATATGCATTATTTTTTCTCTCTGACCTATAAGAGAAGTAAAGAAGAAGTTTAGACCTAGTCTTCTGATAGGAATGAATACCATAACTGTTTGAATACTAGTAGCTAGATGGATGGAGGAGAAATTAAACCCTGCATAAATGCTTTCTACTATATCATAGTATTTGTTTGGCTCTTGTTTTTTCCAGGTACAGTTTCAGTTGTCTACTTAGTTTTTCTGGTTACAGTAAAGGCTGCTCATCTGGGAATACACTTAGAATTCAACTGGTTTACGGAGAATGAATTTTTTGTGCCAGGTAAGATAGTTGAAATGCAGTGGTGAAGTATATATTTGGTGAGTTTAAGGGGTTTTTTTTCTCATTTACCTTTTAACACCTCTGAGACATAAATAGAGGAAATGCTGTCTGATACTGCAAGTAGAGGAAAGATCCCTCCGGACCAAGTGGCAAGGAATCCCTTTCCCAGTGATATTCCTTAGTTAACAGGCACTATCAACAGTAGGGAAGAAAAGGAGTGCCTGTCAGAGGCACCTTCAATATGTATCTTGTGACAGAGAGCTTGCCATAGTCCTTTTTCACCTGTGTTATTTTAAGTTCTAGTTGCACCAGATTCAGATCATGCCTGTTTCAGTAGCAATTAGAAATGGCAAACTGTAGGCAGACTGACTGTTAAGGGTGCTTTAAGTTCCCCACACACTGTCTTGCTTAAATGAAATAGCTCATTCATCATAATATGCAAGTACAGTTTTCCTGTACTTCCCAGTCTATCTCAAGTTTTAGGCCATAATCTTAGTAGCTCTTCTTTTTCAAACACCCATTAGCCAGTTTTATACCATCAGTACCCCTCAGTATGTTTTTATTTTCTTGAAGGTTGTTTGATGGCTATTTGTTCTTTCCAAATTACTGTTAAAATTTCTGTGTGAGATGTCACAGTCATAAACAAGTGGCGCTTGGTATTGCTTGAATAGCTAGCCTAAAGAGACCAAGTTTCTTTTTTAAGAAACCTGGAATAAGAAAATGAGAGTTAGGTCCTAGTTGCTTTTTCCCCATCCTTTACAATAAGCAAAATTTTATGACCAGTTAGCTCCAGGGAGCTGTGTCTTGTACATTAGAATAGTATCACTTCTTCTATTCTTAGAAACAAACTAGAAAAATGAGCTGTAGTGACGCACGTGCCGCAGGCCATTGAGCAGTAGAGCACCCAGTAGTTTGATTAATTTGGCAAAAACACCTAGTACTGCTAGGAGATAGAAAAAGCAGGTAGCTCATGCATACAAATACAGCTTCCAAGAGATTCTGAAACTGTCAGTTTGCTTTTTATTATTGAGATTGAAGTGGTGGATGGAAAACGAGCCTAGAAGTCGAGCCCAGAAATCACTTGCACTCTCAATTCTGTCAGTAGCACATCATGCTAATTACATATTGAAAGTACAGTGAAACTGGCTCTAGGGAAAGCTTATTCTTTCCGTTTGGATAAGCCCTACATTAGTTGCCTGGAGTATGTTTAGCTTCCTAACTTCATAGCACTTTATAGAAGTCTGTTTTAAATATGTTTGCATGGAGCTCTCTGTGGTTTGTTCTGTAAGGGTTTGTGAACTTCTGAAGAGTGTTGTGCTATACTTCTGTATGTTTTTCAGAAGGTGAGCTATCTTATGGTTCTCTAATTGCCGTTAGCACTCTAAAGAGTAAATACTTTCTTAGGTAATACCAACTAAGATGGTGCTTTAATGTTGTTACACCTTGGTGAATTCTTAGACCATTTGCAGCACTTCAAGAACCACCATCTTGTGAACATCTTTTGAGTATTAAAAGAAGCAGAAGAATGCTATTCTCATGGAGACAAGAAGAAAGTTTTTCTTCATACATGCTGTGAAGCATGATAAGAAATTGCTCTGTGTTTTTTTGTGCTCTGGCTTGTAAGCAGAACCTCTTAAATATCTACAGATGTAATTTTTCTTCTGGTAGCATAAGTGACTTCTTAATAACTAAATTTACCCTATATAACTATAAATAACTAATTTACCCTGTTCACAGGGTAAATGATTCCTTCTTTCCATCTCCCTCTTCAGGAACCTGTATGTATACAGCCTCACTGATGTCAATTCCAATTTCACAAATGATTTCCAGTCAAACTGTTCAGGAGCGGAAAACCTTTTATGTACCAATCTTAAATTAACCTAGTAATCACTGATGGTTGGAGTCTATCAGAGAAGCCTTGCTGGAAAGTGTATTCTATAGTAACTGCTGTCTTCATGCATCTTGTAGTTCCTGATTAAATATCTCCATTGGCTATGGTCAAATATGGGCTAGATTGTTCCATTTCAAGGTGGAGGTTCATGAGTTTGCCAGTACCCTCCAGAGCACTGTATGTCATCTGCATTTTGTCATTGCTTGTTTCAAAGAAATCATTTAAAACCACTTTTTTTTTTTTTCTTCCTTTAGAGTTTAGAATTCTGTTCCCTCAGCTCACAGGGATTCTAACACTTGCCTTCTTCATCCACAATTGTGTCATCACACTTCTTCAGAATAACAGGAATCAAGAAAACAATGTAAGTAACTTCACAAGACGGTACTTATTTATTGTAGATTGCCAGACAACAGTAATTTTTTCCTGTGATTTGATAAGAAAAAAATTACGCCTTCTTTTCCTTGCTATGAGGGAGTAACAGATAAATTACAAATTCATTTACATAAAAGCCCCAAGGAATGCTCCAAACTTACAAGCTGGTATTAAACAGCCAAATTGCACACAAGAGGCAGATGAGTTGACTATGTCGTAGGACTCAATGAAAACTGACCAATTTAAGAATGAAAAATGGTGGGAAATGTTTGGTATGTGATTGATTTTATCAGAATCCTGAACAGTAGTTTTGTGGTCTAGGAAATACCTGTTCTCAGAGTTGCTTCAGTAGTTTTGTCTCACAGTCCTAGTCCAAGTCCATGGAGAAACTTGGCACAATTTAGGAAATCCTACAAGTTGAAGCCTGGATGAGGAGGCTTTTTGATATATAGTCTTTGGACTGGTGCTTTGCCCTTGAAAAAGTTAAGCTCTGCTCCTCCAGATGGAACTGCATTCTTTGTTAATATCTTCCCATTATAAAATACCAAATGCAGTAAACACAATACACAGAGTCTGAGAGTAACTTTTACTCTTAATTATTTTATTTTTTCCTCCCTACTTCCAAGGATTCTTGTCCAGCTTCATTTAAATGTTAGCTGTAAAGCTACCTGCAATAACATAAAAAGATTTTGAAATACTAGCTGTATGAAAAACTGTAATGAAATCATAGAATCCCAGAATGCTTGAGGTTGTAAGGAACCTCTGGATGTCATCTTGTTCCCCCTACTGAATCAGTGCCACTAAGAGCCAGATGCCTATGCAGCACATCAGATAAAATATAACAGATTTGATTATTTGACAGTGAAGTGCAGATTATGTACTGATGCAGTGAGATAACCTCTTAGGCTTTAGAAGTCTGCAGAGTTACTTCCTTTTACCTGTGAATCAAGACCAGCTTGTTAATGATGTATCTGCACAGGAGTCATGAATTCTTCTCCAGGAAGGCTTCTGGGGGCTTAGGCCTTCTCAGAAATTAGTTTTAACAGCTGGAGATCTGGGCAAAGAAGGCTAAATAAGCTTTTTCTCAATTTCCTTAAGAAAAATTTATGATGTGGAGAAGGGCAAGATTTCTGTTTAACTGTGGCTTTCAAATTCTAAAGGCTAGATCTCCAGCAATCAGCTCTATATGCACAGGAGGCCTAATACCCTCATTCCATCTTCAAGGTTTTCCTGTGTGTTTTCCCCGCTCTGTTTACATCAGAGCAAGCAATCAGATGCAAAGAGCAGCGCCTGGAGTGTTCTCCAGCTTGCTTTTCCTGTGTGAAGGAGGAAGAAACTGCTGCCTGCATTTGAATCAGCTTTTCTAAAACCCTCCCTGGAGCTTAACTTGAATTTCCAAGTCAGCCGTAGCTGGATCTGAAGCCCTTAACAAAACTCTGCATTCCAGAAGAATGTTCAGATTGCTTAGAAAGGACAGCTTTGAAGCATGGCAGGAAAGATTTTTAATGGCAAAACAAATCTCTGTGTAATTCTTGTAGTAGTTTTATTTGGCTGGAGGTTTCTTTTCCTCTTTGTAGCTGTACAGGAGCCTTTCACCTACATCTCAAAAGTGCTTTGCAAATGTTAATGAAGCACCTATGCTCTTGAAGAGCTGTTTTGTGATTATGTCACTAAGCTGCTGGGCTAAGTGGGAGATTTCCGTATGCATAGGGGTCTTGCACTCTGTCATAGGTCATGGGGGAGTTTTCCCATATATTTACAGGATGCTTTCTTCTCTCAATATTTGGTGGGGTGATACTGACATAACTCCATGGATAAAAACTTCACTGTTTTATTGATGGACCTGTTAACATGGCGCTTCCCTCTGTGTTCTGTCAAAAGGCACAGAACTTGGCAAGCTGGAAAAGCACTGTTTTAGTCTTGAGCAAAACTTACTGAAACTAGAGGTCACAGAACAGCTCTCTGGGGAGGTGGAAAAGAGTAAGACAAACAATAACATTCCTCTTACGGAGTCAGAAATTCAAAACAATAGCAGCTTCCATTCTGGTCACAGGCATGCATCACAGCCCAAAGCTAAAATACACATGGGGGAGGATTGCTCTGGCCGCTATTCCTGTACAGTGGTGTGGGTGTGAGAAGAGAAGAGCAGTGCACCAGAGTAAGCCACATGTCAGCAGCACAGCCGGGAGAAGCCCTGTAAGCAGGTTTTTAGTTCAGAATTGAGCTTCCTGGTCCCATCTCCCACTGCTGCTGCCTCCTTGTATTTATTAACGTAAGTTTTTGTACAGTATCAGTCAAATGGTTCAAAAACAAATTGCATAGGAAATGTAACCCACCCACAAAAAGGAGTTTGGGTGTGGGTTTTAGTTGGTTGTTTTTTTCCTGATTCATGTTTGTGATCAGTTTCCTTGAGCCACACTATGGATGCTACACAAGCCCACCATGATCTACAGGCATAAATATGCTGGTGCTGTCTCCTAACAGTTATTTGTGGATATACCTGGGAGAAAGGCTGTGACTGGGGAGATGTTTTTTGTCTAGGTATTAACTGCAGAAGGCATGGAGCTGTAAATGGTATTTATTTTGCAGTATTGAAACGCTTTATTCCCTGTAAACAGTGTGAGTTTCTATTGAAGGTTGCTGCGTCGACAGTGCCATACCATTGGTTTCTATTTCCTGCCAAAATTATGTACAGTATCATCTATCCTGTTGAAGTACTTATTTTTGTCACCCAGTTAAATGTTACTACTTGCCCTTGATGCATGAGCAGGTGAAGTCTATTTTTATGATATAGATCAAAGTCCTGTTGAGATATTGCAGAGACAGCGTCTCTCCTGAGGAGACACTAATCTGAAATGGGATGATTGAAAGGTATTTCAAATGTGGTAATCATTACTAAGCACTGATACAGGCTTCTCCATCCAAGAAGCAGCTCCACAAACTAGCTTTCAGTGAGGAAGGTAGTGAGGAAGGAAGTGAATTGTTTTCTCCATGGCATTCAGCAGGCAAATCAAGGCCTGGAAGTAGCCTGTAGCAGCATCATGTAAGAAATGTCCATAGATCCACAGAACCTTCTCTGTGCCATGTCAGTTTTTTTTTTTTTTCTGGCCAGCACCTGAATACCGACTGCTCTGTGGATGTGGTACCGTGTCTTGAACTTTCAGGGTTGTCTTTGTTAGCTCCACGACTCATCCTTTTGTTAGGAGGCTGATTTCTTTCTTTGTTCTACTGCTTCTGCCAGCCTTGATCACCCAATTTTCTCTTCTTCCAGCAGCACTTCTAACACTTTATTCTGTGGATCTGACCAGGAGAGCTCCCTGTCAGCAGTAACTGCAGCTGACATGTACTCTCCAAGCTCTGTCTGAAAATCTGCCTGTTACTTCAGGTGTATTTGAGAAGGGTTTGGCAGGTGTCAGGCTGTGATCCTTACGGACTGTCACCTGCATGTTACCTTAGATACTTACATTGAGACTTCAACCGTGATTCTACAAATACTTCCTGCTTCCAGCATTGTTTTTTCTACAAGTTTGACTCTTAAACTGTGGCTGTAAGAATTGCTATATTTTTATGCTTAGGCAGCTTTCACCACAGCAATGTCCACTTTGAATGTAAATGCCTCAAGTATCATATTTAAAACAAAAAAAGTGTAGCTATTGCTCTTAATTAAAATAATCCTTTTATCTCTCCCCCATATGTCCTTTGATTTTATCTTGAATTATGAAGTCTAAACACTACTGTCAAGGTCTTTAGGGAGTGAACCCAGGTGTCTTGAGGAATAATGAACATTAATCAAAAGATGTTCCTGTTACATAAGCACATCTTGTTGTACAAAGGTAACCATCTTATACACAGAAGCATGTATTTGGAAGGGAGCTGATGCATGTTTGAGAAAAAAATAAATCCAGGTTTTCAAGTTGTCTTTTTTAGTAGCTTATTCAAATCAAAATCTGGGTACTCTGTATGGTGACAACACCTGGAGAAAACAGTCTGTGTATTACATGCTATGAAAATAAATTATCAAAATTATCTCACTTAGTTTCAGCATAGGTTAAAGCATACACCCTTACAAACTCTGGAAACATGAGCTGGTTAGTACTGGTGCAAGTACCTGTTGGAGGTAATAGCACGCCACCTATTTACCATTTTTCATATCCAAAGGAAGCACTAAGAATTTTATTTCAGATTTCTTGCCCTCACAACTGTATGCACTCGTCACAGCAAAAGTAGTTTTACAGTTGGTTGTAGAACTTACGTGTAGGCAGAGTACAAATAACAACTGTGAGTTAGTGTACTGTTTTTATGTGTCAGGACTACACCTAAAATACCAGATTTAAAGCAGGTTTTGGTAGATTATGTGCGTTAAGAAGGTTTTGGATGTGTTTTGAAAAATTGTCCAAGTCCTGTCCTCAAGAGATGAGAGTCTGTGTCTCTTTGCAAAACCACCTTACTGTGTCTCTGAGTCCTGAAATTAATGGAAGTTATTGATAAATACCTGCAAGAAATTTGGATGCTCATATTTAATATTCTTAAAATAAGTTCTTACAGTGGGTGGGAACTAGTGCTTTTGAAGATGCAGATGTTATATAAAAACCTGTACAACTTCTCATGTCATGAGGAGAAATTCTGCATATAATTTAAAGAAAAGGCGACTGCTCAGCTTCTGATGAAAGTTGATAGTCCTTACTCAGTGGCCAGTATGAGGAGAGTGAAATGTAGGAAATCATCTCCCTTGTGCATTTAAGTGGTCAGCAGGAGGAAGAGGTTGTAGGTAGAAATGTGCAGCTGCTAGGAGGTTGAAAGCCACCCTGGAATATGTTGAAATCATACTGATGCCTTTTTCCCATCAGCCTCTAAGAGGCAAATAATATTCCTCATCAGACAGCAATCTTCTATCCCAAAAACACTGGCAAAATGAATAGGAGATTCCACGCCATTCACAAAAAACTGGCTTCCATCTGAATTTCTCTCACAACTCATAATCTAGTATTTTATACTTTCCTCAGGGATTGCCTTGCCCTTGGCAGAGCCTAGAGTGGTGTAGAATATGCTTATTCTGTCAGTGAGACAGGGTGAAGAAGCACTTAGGGAAACATTTCCATTTACAGATGTGAGGAAGCTTTGCTCATGCTCAGTGAGCTGGCTGGAGGTGATAATTATCACCCTGGACTGGAAAGCAGTATAATCCTAATAATTTGGTACTATGCCTGAGCTAGTACGACTTGCTTCTCAGTCTTGGGAAAATAGGGCCATGTATTGAAACATTACTAGTAATCCATTAAGAAGCTGATGATTAGCAGCAGCTGAACAAATGGTTTTCTGTAAGGTGATGAGTGTTTTGTACTGTAACATAAGCTTATACAGAATTTAGTTAGCTAATAACTAGAAACAAATGGTCTCCCTCTTTATTTCCAAAGGAAGGAATTTATGTAGGAGAACAAGTACATTGCTGTGAGATCAATCTGATGACTATGTGGATTCTCTAGTTTCATAAAGTACTTAATTAGTTTTGCCAGTTATTTTCCTGTAATAAATGTGTGATTATTTTTGTGTAGTAGAAAATATTTGTATGTATTATATATCTTAAAAAGATAGCCAAAGTTTTCAGAACTGAACATTGAAGTTTAGGTTTAAATCCCTACTTAAGTGTATGTAGTGTAGTTAAGTGTAGATTTAGGACCCTAGCTTTGACACTCCTTCCTTAAAACCTTTGATTAAATTCCTTTGTATTACATCTGCAGTTGGGTAGACTGATGTCTTCAATTGCAAGATTTTATTCATGACAAGAAATTTAACATAGGGCTTTCTGGGCTTTCTGTCTTAGACAGGAGAGTCTGTGTTCCAAGGGTCTTAGTAGGAGTAGGTGAATGTAAGAAAGTAGAAGGGATTCCTTGTATGTTTTAATAACTAGTGTATACTTATGCATCAGGAACAACATGCTACATCTATTAGCATGTCTCATTCATGGTGCCTTTTTTGTATGTTGAGAGATAAACAATACTTGTCTAGCACCACTTTGGGGTATTTTCTTGCAGTTTTCTGATCTGATCAGAACCAGTTCTCCATCCAAGCAGTAGGAAGTAAAAATAAAAATGTACAAGTGGTAGTAGTAATTATAAGAAAGTAATGCATATAAAAGTAACAGTAATACATGAAATAGAAATCTTCTTATGAGGTTTTTATTTCATCTGGTTTTCTGTGTAAGTGCTGGCCAAAATAAATCTTGTTTTTCCTCAGGTGAGAGACCTCTCTATTGCATACTTCCTGGTTGGACTAACATACCTGTATGTTGGAGTGATAATTTTTGCATCTTTTCCTTCTCCACCATTATCCAAAGAATGTATTGAACAGGTGAGATATTTTACTGCAGTATGTATTTCATGGAATCACAAAATGGGTTTTTTGGAGGGACCAAAGTGGGACATCTGATCCAACCTCCGTGTTCAAGGAAGGCCATCCCGGAGCATATGGCACAGGATTGCATCCAGATGGTTCTGGAATAGCTTCAGTGGGGGAGACTCCAGAACTTCTGTGGACAGTCTGTTCACGGTGCACAGTCACTCACACTGTGAAGAAGTTCTTTGTCGTGTTTAACTGGAACTCTCTGTGCATCAGTTTCTGCCCATTGTCTCTTGTCCTATTGCTTGGCACCACCAAGAAGAGCCAGATCACCTGTGGCACCCTCCTTTCACCTGTATACACTGATGAGGTGCAACAGGAATAGGCCTAGCCCCCCCAGCCTTTCCTTGTAAGAGAGATGCTCCAGTTCCTTGGTCATCTTTGTAGCACTGAGCTGGACCCGCTCCAGGAGCTGCATGTCTGTTGTCCTGAGGAGCCCAGAACTGGACACAGCGCTCCAGATGTGCCTCACCAGGGCTGAGTAGAGGGGCAGGATCACCTACCTCGACCTGCTGGCAATGCTCTTCCTAATACATGCCAAGATAAATATATTTATATTTGATATATACAAATATAAATATATTTGTCCTTAACCTTTTAATAAATACACAATAAAAAAGCCCCAGCTACTGCTGCTTGCTTCATGATTTACCCTGGCAGGAGCATCTGCACTTGACTGTGGTCAGTTGGTGGGACACCTCGTGGGCACTACCACGAACAGAAGAGTAATGCTTGTGTTATCTCATTTATATTCATAAATGGTTCCCAATATTTCAATGAAAAACAGACATTTAATAAATACTCTGTGAAAGTGATGAAGGACCAAAATGAACAAGTGAACAATTGAGCTTTTCATTTCTTTAGCTTCTTTAATCCTGAGAAGTGTGTGCAGTGACTGAATGGGATTCCAGAAGAAATAGAATGTGAAAGCAAGCTTGTTTAGATAGGAGTCCTCGCTGCAATTACTTTTGAAGTCTGATACTCTGGAGTCTGACACTCTGGTGAGCCTTGCCAGCAGAGTTATTCAGATAATAGCACCACATGAAATACCCTTTGAAGGCAAAAAACTCTTATCTGCTTCTAGGCAAAACTGATTTCCACACCCTAAATTGCTTCAGAGATAGCAGTTATCAGTGGGGGATCCATTTTATGCTAGGTGTTCTATAGCTCTGGCACAATATTTAGCAATAAGGCAGCATTTAACTGGTACCACTGTTAAACCATGAAATGATTTTTTTAACCACCTGAAATAATTTCACAGGATGAAATCCTCAATTAAATAAAAGATAATGAGTTATTTTCTTCCCATTTATTTTCTGCAGCTATCTCAGGTACTTATGAAGCTGTTTGTGTATTTCTATGATGTTTAAATGTTATAACACTTTTTCAGATGTTCCCACTAGTAGTGTATGATCCCTTCCTCATTTGTATGTAATGGAGTTTTACTCACAAAGTAACTGTTTTTAATAAGTAGGTGTGATATGACAGATAAAAGGAGCATATGAATCCATCTGCCTAAAAGGTCAGATGATTCTTTATTATATTATTTGAATCATCTTTAGATGATTCAAAGATGTGGCCTTTTCACAGCCTGGATTGTTTGAGGATGTTCAGAAGATCAGAAAGCAATTTGTTACGCAATACTAACATTAACACTGACATCAGCTTAGTAATATTCAAAAATTGATTGTTATTTGGTGGCAGTTGTAAAAGAGGGAGAGGGTTTTTCATGTTATGGAATTCATTTAGCAATTGTAATTATTTGGATTTTGTGCCATTCTTTCTGGCACATGGATATTAAAAGCCAGCAGATATATGTAAACAAGCCACCATTGATGTGTAACACTACTTATATGTTTAGAATTTTCTAGATAACTTTCCCAGTGATGACATCATGTCATTTGTTGCAAGAATATTCCTGCTGTTCCAAATGATGACTGTATACCCACTATTGGGCTATCTGGCACGAGTTCAGCTGTTAAAACAGTTTTTTGGAAATGCTTACCCAAGGTAAGAAGTTTGTTTCTGTACAATAGTTTGGCACACTCTCCTTAAGTGGCTTTCCGTTGTCAGAAATTTGGCTATGTTTTTGGGGATTTTCTTTGTGCATTAGGTTAATTTCATAAGCTAGTTTCACAGTTTGTAGAGTCAGGGTGAAAGGCATGCCTGCGGATCAGAACTGTTACAGTTTGCCAGAGCAGAATAAGGGGGGGGTTCTTTTAGTTTAGCTCTTCATTTTATCAATATGATTTTGTCAACACAGTCCCTTTGGGTTATGCAATTATATGACAAAAGAAAAGTTGCACAGGAAAAAAAATTGTTTAGTCCAGGAGCATTTCATCTTGCAATCCTTAAGCTGTGAAAAACATATATTCCAGATACTGGCCTTTCAGCATGCCATCTTTGTTTTGATTGTGCATGATTAGTAATCATCCATCTGTTTTCAAACAGAGCTAATAGCTAAGTGAGTTGTTAGTTGTGCTATCTGGGCTGCTGCTATGCTTATAAAAATAGCTTTTCAGATGCTAATTTCAGAGATGAGCCACACCCTTGCATTTGTACAATGTCTGTACTCCAGGGAATAGCTGATGCAGATTTCAGTTTTAGTTTGGTTTCTTAAATAAAACCTAGGACATTTATATTTGGAGTACCAGAGTACTGAATTTGTCACAGCTGAGAAGTTGCCATTTATCTCCAAGTTTCTTATTTTGTATTGTGAATTACTGTTGATGGAGGAAAGGAAAAAAAAATCTCTGGAAGGAATGTATATTTCCTCTGTGTCATCAGCAGTTCAGGTCTGCAGAGATGTTGTTTCAAGTTTCAGGTTTCTTCTGAGTCCTGAAATAAGTTCTAGAAACTGAATGCCTAAAATTAGGCAGCGAAATAAGTGCCTGCCTTTTTTGACTCAGAATTGTATGCAGTTCAACATTGGGATTTTTAGGAACTGCTGCAAGTTACTGCTGGAAACAAGGCCATTTATTTAAGTGCTAAAGATGGATTTCACAGCCGTGGGGAAATAGTCTTGTCCTTTATATTATGTGGATATGCCTTTTCCTATCTCCTCCCTCTAGTTACTCTCTGACCAGAATGGTTTTCATTTCCCTCATGGGCTCTCCTAGAACCTACAGCTTTATGCCAGTCTCTTCTCAGGTTAATTCCAGCTTGCTGTTTTAAGCCATCACATATGACGAATTTGATGATGCAGATGCTTGCTTGATTCTTGTCTCCAGGATGTCCTGTGGGTAGCTTCACTCATATTTAAATGTACTTTGTTTTAAGACTCCTTATAGTGAAGTATTTAAAGCTTCTGAGTAGTCAAAAATGGTTTCTAGGAAGCCATATTAGCCTCTCCAGCCTATAGTGATAAGGTAGTATGTTCTGGCTGATGGGCTCTCTCTTGCTGTCTAGCATCCCAGGTTTCTCAAATACAGCACAGAAATCACTGAATTAACCTTCAGGCTCTGGCTTCTGTGCATTTACATTGCATCTTTGTTTTTTTCTATGTGGTGAAGACTTACTGAAGGCTGGTAGCAAGCGCAGAGCATGTCTCTGGGAGGATAGTAAAGATTTACTGGTTGTGAAATGTGTCTTCATGACTGGTTCTCACCAGTCACCTAAGCTGACAAATCTCCTTTAGTAGCACTTTATTACCTCTGTAAGAAAAACTGCAGTATTTTTGTTTTTCCCCTGAGCTGCTTTTGTAGGGAAATGTTTTACAGATATGAAACTTTTGCTCTTACTGACATAGACTTGATATCTTACCAGAGAACCTGTTGATTCACTCTGCACAACCTACTTGGAAATATTAAATTCTGTAGCTTTTTGTGTAGGGAACCAAGCACTGTACTAATAGTTGAATATAGTTGGGTTCTTTTTTCAAAATCCTCATTAATCAGGGCTAACAGCTCTTGGGCAATAAGATTGATCTGTAGAGATTCATGCTTCACCTCTTAGATGTCTGTATAAGTAAATATATGGAGGAGAATATCCTGAGTCACATGCCTGGAGAAAATTTTTGTGTGAGGATGAAAAAGGAGGCAAAGAGCATGATCTCTGTTGGCAACCTAGCCTCGTTTAACTGTATGATTCTATGGGCTAAATCACATATCTTTTCATAGGTGCATCTTTCTTACATTAGGTTTTCTTTGCAGATGAGAGAAGTCTTATAAATTTGCCTTCTGACATAATTTTCCAAATGAAACCAACAAAAACATCTAAATCAGAAACACCTAACAGAAACACTGTTTTGGTCCAAGTCTCCATTAGAAATTTTCCTGTCTTCATTTTTAAGCTGTTGGGTGCTTTACATGGAAGCTCACTGATTTTAAAAGCCAGGCTTCTTTACATCAGCAGTTATTTGCAGGTGTGGATTCCTGCTGCTGCTACAGATACCCCTTAAGTTAATAAGTGGAGTACATAGGATTCTGTACGGATGCAGCTTAAAGCAAATAGCTTGATCTCACACGTTTACAGGGCTGCCAGACAGTTTTTATTTCCTGGGTGTGACTGTATTGCTCAGATCAATTTCATTATCTGGGTTTTACCCCTTTTTCTTTACCTGAAACTGGTTATAATAAAGCACTAAGATATTAGTTTCCTGTTTTGGAATTTATAGTCTAGATTTTTTATCTAATCAAAGGCAAATTCTGCCAAAAGCAATGTCATGGTGAATATCCTATTTTTTTGTGGAAAACCATGGATTGTAACTGGATTATAATGAGAAACTACTTACTCATCTTCAAGGGAGCTTTTATTGTCTGAAGACTTGGTTTTCACCTCTTTTGTGTCACGCTTTTTACTCTGCAGTGTTCTTTTTCTGTTAACAACTCTTTGCTGTGTACCTATAGTGTATCCTACTAACCCATAGTCTTGAGTGGTGAAGCAGCTCAGCCTCTCCAAACTTAAAAGCTTAAACAGACAATATGTAACTTTTTTTTCTCCCAGGTTCCCCAGTAGACATAAGCTGAGCAGTGGGAGCTTGCCTATCTGAAAGGAAATGAGAGTCTTGTCTTCCAACAGTCAGGACGAGAGCAAAAGCATCCTTGAATCTAAGAAAGAGGATTCTCATTGCTCTTACGTACATGTGTCAGTGACTTGTGTCTCTGCCTATCTTAAAATCAAAGACACGTGTACACATGCTAGACACAGTAGTCTTCTTATAGGCATCATCACATAGAATCATAGAGTGGTTTGGATTGGAAGGGACCTTGAAGATCATTTAGTCCCGGCCCCGCTGCCATCAGCAGGGACAGCTTTGACTAGACCAGGTTACTCCTACAAACTGGCCTTGAATACTTGCCCATTCAGACTGGCCTTGCACACTTCCAGAGGTGGGGCATCCACAGCTTTCCTGGGCAACCTGTTCTACTGTATCATCACCCTCACAGTACAGTTTCTTCCATATATTTAACCTAAATTTCCCTCCTTTCAGTGTGTATCCATTCCTCCTTGCCCTGGCACTCCAGTTCCTGTCAGAGAATCCCTCTCCAGCTTCCCTGTAGGCCCCTTCAGATACTGGAAGGTGTCTGTGAGGTCCCGCACAATCCTCTCTCCTCCAGGCTGAGCAGCCCCAGTTGCTCAGCCTGTCCTCACAGCAGGGGTGCTCCAGCCCTCTCACCAACCTCCTGGCCCTCCTCTGGACTTGTTTTAACAGCTCCTTGTCATCGTGCTGGGGACCCCAGAGCTGGATGCAGTGCTCCAGGTGGGGTCTCAGCAGAGCAGAGCAGAGCAGAGCAGAGGGGTACAACCCCTCTCTCAATCTGCTGGCCAGCGCTGCTTTGGATACAGCCCAGGATTTCCTTGGCTTTCTGGGCTGGGAGCACTCACTGCGGGCTAATGGTGAGTTTTTCATCAGCCACCACCCCTGAGTCCTTCTCCACAGGGCTGCTCTCAAGCACTTCTCTGCCCAGCCTGTGGGTGTGCCTGGAATTGCCATGATCTGGGTGTAGGAGGCTTTTACTTGGCCTTGCTGAGCTCCCTGAGGTGCATCCCTTCCCTCCAACATGTCCACTGCATCATACGCAGCTTGGTGCTGATGGTGCACTCAATCCACAAATCCTTCTGCCTTTCTCTACTTCCTGCAAAAGATTTAGAAATGAGAGAAGACATCCTAATTCCTTCTTTTATTTTGCAAAATGTATGTTAGTAAACGGATTACAAGAGGGAAAATTATGTACTGGGACAAAACCCAAGAAACTGTTCATTCTCTCTGCTCTCCCTGGTGTTGTTAAGGAAGGCCAAAATTCTGTGTATTGAGTAATTGCTTTCTTTTCTAAAATGAGATATGTTTGTAATGGCGTCATTTAACAGCTGATTTAGGGCCAGATGCATGTGCTTTATCTGCTGTTTCTTGCTTGACTCTGGATCTTCTTATGTGTACAGAAAGCCAGTTTTTATTATTGTTACTGGTTCTTTGCTACAGTAATATTTGTGACAGAGATTCCCTTGATTAATTATATGGTGTCCATAAAGTGCTTTAAAAATCTTAGGATTTTTTAAAACTTTTTAACATCTTTCCTGTTCTGAGAGGTGAAATAAGCTGATAGACAAAAATCACTTCGCTTTCCTTAATAATTGTCATCCCTTTACTCCATGGTAGCCCAGCAGACCTGCCAGTTCTCCTGGAGATGTATATCTTCTGATGCAATGAAATACATTTCTTCTGTTTGCATGCATGTTTGCTTGTCTGCTCTTCTTCTAACCTCTGCCTAGCTTCTCTTAAAGGTTGTGATTCATTGTCTTTTGACCAATGTCACTTGAGTGAGATTTCCAGGAAGAAAATGCATTTTTAGATACAGAAACCTCTCAAAAATTCTTATTTGGGTGATCCTGATTTTCTTCTTTCCTTACTTTCCAGTTTCCCTTATTGTGTGTGCTCATCCTGTGACTCCATGCTGAGTCTCAAACTTCTGAGAGAACTTAAAACTTGAGGGGATTTAAAATCAGTTTCTGTCTTTAAATTTCTCCTGTGCTAGGATTTGGTTTCACTGTTTTTTACATGATTCTTACTTTGAGGATGTTAATTAGATATATATGTTAATTAGACATATATGGTCACTGCTGTTCAGTGACTTAAGTGTAGCTACCACTACCACTTCAGTGGGAGAGAATTTGATGGAGCAAGCCCTTTAATGATCTTCTGGCATACAAGGTTGTTTCTCCACTCTGTCAATCTGAAAGGTTAACCTTGCCAGGAGAGAAAAAAGAAAGACTTAGGGGAAAGTTTGCATTTTCTTCTAATCTTTTTTTCTTCTCCTTTCCGTTACCATTTTTGTGGGATTGCAGGATTTTTGCAGGTGAGCAGTGATTCCCTTTATAGAAAAGAGCTAGAGTCTTCATCTGCCCAGCTGAGAGTGTGGAGACTGAGGACAGAATATAAAATACTTGCCATGGGTGTGCTTCCTTTGCGAATTATAGCCTCCTTCAGGCAGCCCAACCTGTGCCTCAGAGCAGCAGCCCTAACCAGGCTGCCCAGGCAGACAGTCCAGCCCTGGCATGGGCCACCCAACTCTGCTGCCATTGACCATGACGGAGAAAGTTACACCACTTAGAAAACACCTGTACGTGACCAGGATGATTAAGCACAAACAGGCCAAATCTTTTCTAATCTCTTATGTCCTCTAAATACTTTTCTTCGTATAATTGTAATAAGCAGTGGTGTGGTTATTTCCCCTGCCTCCAAATGCTGTTTTCCTGACTGTCCTTTTGCAGTGTGTTGTGAACATTAATTTTACTGTAAGCCAGTAAAGTCAGGCTAAACTTGAGCAATTCAGGACTTACTAAAATGTCATGGGCTATGAGAAATGCTTTCCTGTCTGGAACATACCTGCATGGAGCTCTAGAGTCTTAAGAAAAGTACTTTCTCAAATAATGTAGCTCCTTGTAGCCCTAGGTATCAGATTTTACTTTATTCAGAAGGGTAGGGTTTTTTTAATAAATGGTAATGCCTTTCTCTCCATCAAGATCAAGACTTTTCTCCCATCCTGGAGATCAGCTGAGCTGTGACTATCTGCCTGGGTAAAAGAAAGGGTTTGCTGGTTAAATACCTGTTGTCCACTGTCATGGTTACAACTCAGGCTGTTTCAAAAGGTAAAGAAAGGAGCAAGGACATTCCAGGGGAGGAATGCAGTGTAATCTTTCACATTGAAACAGATAGGTGCAAAGCCTTTTCAGACCTTCTGATTTTGGTATTGTTCTTGAGGAATCTGATTAATTTTGACAATGAAAACTGCAAACCACTACTCTACAAGTACTGAATTGCTTTGGAGACTTCAGCATTTGAGGACCATTGTTTTCAATTGAGCCAGAACACATTGTCCCCCCCCTCAACCCAATAATCATTTCCCAGATCAAGAAACTGAGAAGTGTTTCATTTCACACCAGAGATACAGACACTCCTATTTACTTTCAAAATTTAAGAGAATCTAGAAGTAATTTTTTTAAACAACAGCTTTGAACAACAAAATCACGTCTTCAAAGCATGCCAGAATAAAATACTTCAGAGATTTTTCAGGTTTTCTGCTAAAATACTCTGAACTGACACAAATTTGCAGAACATTTTTGAACTAGTAAGCCTCCACTGGTTTTAGTCCCTCTTGCTAAAAAAATAATCTCAGCAAAAAGAGAGTGGAAGAAGTGCTGTCATTTTCTGTGTCCATAAACTTTCTGCTTTGATTGCGTGATAGTAAGATTTGCAATCTGCCACGTGTAGGAGAGAGGAAGTTGTTTTTAATGGCAAACACTTTTTTGGGAACAGGTCTGTTAACTGGCTTTCCTTAGCAGTATTAGAGAGGTGTACAAATTTGGTCCCTAAGAAGTCTGATTCTTGGGATTTTATTTTTTGTTCATGGGGTCTTACCAGATTTATATTCAGTTAAGTTTTTTTTAATCTTATACAGCTGCTGTGGTTTCATTGCAGTTGTTGATCTCTAAGGTACCCCTCTTGTACCACTGTACAAATGTAATGTAAAAAATGGAAGATTTTTTTTGTCTTTTTGAAATAAATTTTAAAGATTGAAGGTCAAAAACAGTCCATAGCTTAAATTATTCCTTTGTGCTTTAATTGCCTTCATTTCCCTGAACTTTAATAAGACTATTCTATGTCTTCAATCTTTCTTCCTAACTTGGAAACTGGCAGGCAGCCTTTCAGCCATAGCCATGGAAGTTGTCACTGCTTAAAAGTTTGTTAGTTAGTTAGATCCTCCGTAATACACATACTTTCTACAGTGAAGAAAAAATTAGCCTTGGCTTACAGGTTTTGTATATTTTAGGAAATCATATCCTCCAGAAGAATAAACAGAACCTGTAAGTGTATGTATGTTTCCTCTGTGAGAATTCTTTTTTCCCTTCATAGAAACAGCTGTGTGACCAAAATATCACAGGTTTTTATTCTATTTCCTGACTTTACCTTATGCTAAAATATGCCAACATTTCATATTCCTGAAAGAAAAGTGATACTTTCCTGAGTCTCAGCTCTGTGCATAACTGCACTGAATGTCTGATACAGTAAAAGCTGTCTTTGCAGAACAGAAAACCTCCATTTTTCTTATCCTAATGCAAAAGCAAAGCAACAGGAAATTATTTGTAAAAAAAATTCAGCATAAATAGGGCAGGAGCAAGGAAGTTCATTGCAGTTCATATACTGTAATACATCCAACATTTTAAATGTTTGTCCTCTATCAAATTGCAGTAGAGTTCAAATTTTAATAGTGTTTGTAATGTTTTCCACTTGATGCATCTTTGCCTTTCTTCTGGTTTCCATTAGTTCACTTCGAGCAATTCAGCTCATTCTGCAAACAAGCTAATTTTTTCTTGTGGGAATTAAGTTATACAGTATTGTTTCTTTGGTATTTGAATATCCATCTGAAATACTTGAGTGCTGAGTACCATGTATGATGTTTTTCGTAAGAATTGCCAAATTACACATTCTTATTTCTTAAGAATATTTTGAGTCAAAATACTAGATATTTAGAAATTGGCACTCTGAATATTCAGTAGATGACATGTTTGCTGTGAAATTAATTAGCTTTAATAGAGTGAGTCATGCAAATGAAAGCGCCATCCATGTACCAGTTAAATATTAGAGTAAATGATGGCCAGTGGTGGTATTTTGTAAAAAATATAACAGATTTTAACACTCTTTCCTCACTTTCTGCAGCCTTTTCCATGTGCTTATCCTGAACCTAGCCATTGTAGGAGCTGGAGTAGCAATGGCAAGATTTTATCCAAATATAGGAGGTATCATAAGGTGAGTGTTGCTTGCAGTGAGCTTCCCTGTGGTGTTACTATATTTGTGTCTTGATGTTGAAAAGGAGCGCTAATAATTGTACCTTTATGTTTTGTGAAGCTTATGCCTTCTTAAGTTGTCAAATAATGATTTGGTGGGTAAACAATCAGCTTGCAAAGTTCTGACGTCTGTTATTCTGCCTCTGTGTCTGAGGTGGTTGAGTTTTACCAGAGCTGTACCTTAGGACCTTGTAACTCTACTCATAAATGAGTATGGTACCAGAAGAAAAGTTGCTTTGTTATTGTGTACTTCTCCCAAGTTTCTGTTTCGTATTCAGACCATTTCAACCTGGATTGAAGGTCCATAATAAAAATCCAAGAAAGCAAGTGGCATCAAAGTGCCTCTAAATGATATCTCAAATTTACTATGTTGATGAAAAGCTAGGATTTCTATAATGAGAAAATATTAGAGGAAATAATAAGAAGTCTGCTGTGTTTGACATCAACATATTTATATGCATTGTCATTTATTCTTGGTTTGCATCTTTCCTAAAGCAACCAGGAGAGGGAGGTGTTTAAAAATACTGAAATCTGCAATTATAAAACCAGAGTGACAGGTTTGGGTCTGACCAAAGTAGCAAAATAACTTACTTTTGCACAGTGGCTGATCTTAGAAGGTTTTCCCCATTTCCTCTTTTTCTTCTCTCTCTCCTTGTAGTAATTTTTTTTGTATTCCAGTAATAGAAATGGTCAAGTTAATTGTCATCAGAGACTCTTAGAATGATAGAATGGCCCTTATGGTTGGAAGGGACCTTGAAGATACCTAGTTCCAACCTCCTACCATGGGCAAGGAACACCTGCTGCTAGACCAGGTTGCTCAGAGTCCCATCCTACCCGGCCTTGAACATTTCCAGGGACATCACATCCACAGCTTTCCTGGGCAACCTGTTCCAATGCCTCAGCACCCTGACAGGAGAGAATTTCTTCTTCCTGATACCTAATTTGTTTAAACATTGTGCAATACATACCACTGTTTGCAAACTGGTGCTTATCTCTTCTGATGTGTCTATATTGTGCTTAGTAACCAAACACATTGAATAGTGGGTGTCCAGCAGATAAATTGTCTTTATACAGTCTAACTTGCGTGCTTGCAAGCCAGACTGTTCATTCCTTGGAAAGGAATGTTCAAATATATGAAACAAAATACGTTGTTACTTAATAACAACATTTGGCTTCTTAGTAGGTGAAAGTTATGAGAACATTTTTGTAAGCAAGGAATAGGTTAGAAAAAGAACAGTTAGATGTTTCCCTTGCTGTGGTTGATCATGTTACCAGAAGGGCATTTTGTTCCTTTTAGGTGTGAAGAATGATTTGCTAGAAGCTCATTAAATAAATTAAAATAAGAATTGCAGATTCAGAAACATTTCTATATTTAAATGGTTTAGTCTGTGTTCTCAGATGGCTGGGGTGCAATGAGATTTGCAGTTCTGACAGTAAAGGATGTGTAATAGAGGATGCACTCTTATGTCTCTTTCTGCTGCATGTTGACAAATTTCCCCAAAGAAGGTAGAAGCATCAAGGCTTAAGTAAGGGATTTGTTCCCCAACAGCATCACAGGGTGTGGCTGAAAGGACAGAGCCATGCCATACTGCAGGTACAAGCAAGCAGGGGGGTGAACAGCACAGAGAGTGGTAATTAAGTGCTAGTGAAGGAGGTAGAGGTCAGTAAGGAACAGAAATTGATGTTTATCGATTGCAGATAGTCAGTATTCTTCCAGATTGTTCATTGGTTTGGCGTGGGGAAATGACAACAAGAAATAAGAATAAATGCAAAGCATTAATTCTTTTTTTTCTTTTTTACTTCTCCTCTTCCCTCCCTTTCCTCAGATACTCTGGAGCAACATGTGGCCTGGCCTTTGTGTTCGTGTATCCATCACTCATCTACATGATCTCCCTGCACCGTGCTGGGCAGCTGACGTGGCCCGCACTGATTATTCACATCTTTATAATCCTCCTTGGACTGGCTAATCTGATTGCACAATTCCTATTGTGAAAACTCCCCTTTCTCCCGTGGTTGTCACAATTGGTACTGCGATATTTGGCAACAGCCTTGAGCAACACTGTGAGGCATGAGGACCATCCTCCATGTGAGGATCTTGGGAAAAGCTTCACCTTTGAAACAAATTCGAAGCACATCATTCAAGTGCTTTACAGGAAACATGTCTTGCTTCTCTGAAGTCACTATCTTATGAGAAGTGAAGTGGAGTTCTGGTTTTGTTGAAGGTATATCAAAAATTAACAACGCTCAAATATTTTAATATTTTACAGCACATTTCTCCAAACACAGAGCTTCCAGCCTCAAGCTGTGGAAGTCTTTCCTCCGAATGAGCTGTCCTTACCTTGATTAGCAGACATACTTTCTCAGTATTGTTCAGTGACTCTTTGAAATGCTCTTTTGTTGCAGTTATTTTCCTGATTTGTTTGGAAAATGAAGAATTTATTGTCTTTCTTCTTTTTTTTTTAGGTTAATTTATAGTCACTTGGGTCAAAATGCACTCTTAATTTTGAATACACTATTAAATTGTTTTGGCAATATTTTTCCTCTAGGAAGTTCCAACAACGAGAAACAATAAACTCATGTTTCAGTGTTTTATTCAGAACCAATATGTACACAACTTATTTGTGATCTTACAATACAAAAAAGCCAGGAGGATAAAAAAAATTAGAAGGAGACAATTAAAATCAGTAATTCCAGGCTTGACCTCAGTTCAACTCTGTTACTGGGCTATTATGTGCTGTGAAGTTGTCTTGTCAGGATTTGCATGTGGTTTTTATGGATGCATGGTGTACACAGCATTTGTTCATCACAGGCCTGCCCTTGTAGGGTCTTCCTCTGGTGGTCTCTCACTTCCCCACTACGTTACTCCAGACATTTTGGATGTGAGCAGAGAGACAAAGCCAGCAGTCTTCAGAATTGTGGATGAAGTGAAAGAATTTAAGTTTTAAATAATTTATAACAGAAGCTGGAAGAATCTGGGAAGATATTGTTGTGGAGTTGCTTGTTTTTTTTAACTTCTTGTTTATGAATTAAGAGGGTGTACATGCATAAGCACATAGACACCTTCTTTCATCTACCTGCTGTAACTCTGTGTCTTAACCCAAAACATGCAGTAATTAAGTTGCCAGACACTAATGGAATGTCATTTTTGTGGTTGGAGAGAGAGTAGATGCTCCTCTTTGTGCAGATTTGCAGTGCATTAAAATAATCAACAAATGTAGAATAATTGAAAAAGAACTCTGAGCAATACTAAATTCCAAAGTAAGTAAAAGACGAAAAATGTTGGAGTGGTGCAATATTTGTGAAGTAGGAGTTGGATAAGATAATTAACTTGCAGGTTAAGAGTTCATATTTTCATCAGAAAGACAGTGAAAAACATAACTTAGGTTATTACCATGCTTCTCTGGAAAATTATGTGAATTTTTTTTGTGATAATTTAAATCTATTTGTTTTACTTGGGCTCCTCAAACTGTGTAAAGGACACTCATTTTCCTAAATATCCTTTGATTTGTATGAAATACAAGATTATATGGGTTTGGAATACTATCTGCAGAATACAATGTGAAACATGCTGTGCCTTTACATCAGAATTGGAGAATACATCCATCATCTGTTCTGTATTAGAGAGAACTATCTGCCCCATCCTGGTCATTTTCTCCTGTGTAGACTCTTACAAGAGAAGTACTTGAAAACTAAAAGGAGAGGACAAAAGATAGAGATTTCCTAGCATTGTTGGTTTATTCACATTAAGCTCTTGTGCTTATTTATTATAGGTTCAGTGCTTAATTTAGGTACAAACCCTGATGAGTGCAGGTAATGAAATTTTATTATATCCTTCCATGTTCCATTTGAATATGATTCCTTTATGTATATCCTTGTCATTGAAGCTGATAATAAAATACCCATTGATTTTAGCAGAATTAAATTCTGTTAGGATCTAGTAGTCCACAGAAATTCTTAAGAAAGACAGAATTCTTGGCAAAGTGTCCTCATTGCATCTTGTATCTATCTATTTTTTCAGTTATGCAGTGTAAAATTTAGAAGGAAATTATTCAGAACATTTATAGAAGACTGTTTTAGCTCTGTGTTACAGAGATAGGTTCTTGCTGCACTGTTTATTTATACAAGCCTGTAAAACCTTTGATTTGAATTACAAACTTGTAAGCAGTAGAGTGATAGCAAATATTTCATTACACTGTCATCCCCTGAAGCATACTTTCTTATGAGAAAGTATTTTTTAATTTTATTACATGCAGTTGAAATTTTCACAAGCATAAGAAGCAAGTCAGGAGTGTGTAAGTAAATTGGCATTTTTGGGAATTCTCTTGTCAGCATCCTGAGTTAAATAATACCTTAAAATTTAATGGAAACTTAAATGCCCTAAAACACCAGAGGTAGATTGCAGTGTCTTTTTTAGTGCAAGTACAAAATGTAGTTGTTTACAAACACACACTTCATCTGCAGTGATGGCCAGCTAATTTCACTTCCTTAGATTCTGTGTTCCAGGATATCATCATGTAGCTTAGCAGAGCAAAGAATGTAATATATTGACCCAGTGGTGTAATGTGAGATGTCATTTATTACCTTTTCTCAGAAGAAAAATAATTTCTGTTGGAAATACTGAATTATGTCTTTACACTTGAACTTTGCTGAAGTAGTTTGTGAGGTGAAACACTTCTGTCTCTGGGCATTGACTAAGAATCTAAGGTTTTCTTCCTAGCAGTACCAGGCTCCTTGTTTGGCACCATCCCTAACTCATTGCGCTCTGTCAATCCAGCCCCCCATTTTATGTGATAACTCAGTGATGCAAACTGAAATTTTTGTTGCATGAGGTTTGAGCAGCTGTAGTCAATCCTCTGTGCTGATACCATCATGCTAAAATCCAGATCTCAGGATACATAAGGCGTTAACCCAGCATGACCTTCTAAAATTGCCAAAGAGTAAGTAGCCAGGGGAATTCCCAGGAAGCTCCAAGAGCAGTTGTGGACATGCCTGTGTGGTGAATTTGTGGACATGTCTGTAGGTTATTACACACTTTGAGCACTGATGCCAAGGGATTAGTTTTTCAGTGGGAGTGTTGTGATTAACAGAATTATTTTCTAAAGACAAGGACAGATGCTATGGCTTATAAGTCTGTCTTCTCTTAGGACACTTCTTCTCTTAGAAAAGAACTACCTTCCCTATATGCTTGTACTAATCTCATTGCCTTCTCTGTAATGGCCTAGCATCATTTTGTAAAGTTACTGTGGCCCACATTCTTCCTTCCAGCTTCTAGTGATCTTCATAATTTCTCCTGTATTTACTGGCTCTCAGTTTTTCCTTTGTTCTTCCAGTCTCTCATAGCTGCATCTGTTCCTACAAATAATTTTTTCCCATTCTGTCTGGATTGGCAATGTAATGCTAATATACTAAATCATGTAACTCAAAAAACCTGTGCAGCAAATATGAACATTTGGGTTTCAAACGTTGTGTCATGTAAACAGAGGGTCTCAGAACGATATTTTATATACCATTGCCTGTTTTCTTAGAGGTTCAGCCTTTCCAGTGCCTAGTGCAAAAATACATGAAGGTAATGGCATTTGGTTGCAGCACTGAACTCTTTGGTGTTGATAGCTTGCCTGCCCAACCTTCAGGCTGCTCCCTTCTCCACCAAGCTTCTGCGCAAGGGTTGTCTTCTTTTACATATTCATGGAACCTTTTTTTCCATAGGGAGTGAGCTTGAGAGTCAGAAGGTTGCCAGAGTAGTTGGTTCCCCATTACTGCTCTAAGCTGGCATCTCTCAACTTTGAGTGCTCAACTATGGGCAAGTGTTAATGAGCCTGTAGTCAGCCCTAAGGCTGATTAAACTCTTTTGTAGAGTTTACTAAACAAAGTTTATATCCATCCACCCATGGATGTCTGGAAAGCTGAGAGGCAGCAGCAGTGTAATTGAGTTACATCACAGCTGAAGCTGTGATGGGAAGGAGGAGAGACTTCCTGGAATTCTGAGACAGTCAAAGGATGTACAGTCTGCACTATGGGAAGTCCTAGAGACTGTGTACAAGAGCCAGGCTGATGCTGCAGTCTCCAGGTTCTACAGTAAAATGGTAGTGAGGGAGGTGAGAGAGATGGTAGCCTCTGGAAAGCGTGGTTTTGCCTTACAGGGTGTTGTGCTTCAGAGGACAACGGCACTAAACATCTGTCACCTTTATAACATATGAAGATACCTACCTGAGGAAAAATTAATAACGGGAGAAGGATTAGTGCTTGGCAATAACTGGTACTGCTACCAACAAAACAGTGTCTCTCCTTCAGCTGGAAGCAAAAAATAATTCCAGTGGGCAGGTCACAAAATCTGGGAGCTGTCTTCAGTAAAAAATATGCTATTTTAGTAGACTTCAATAACTTCTTAAGAGGAAGTAAAATACTAGTGATAGACAAAGCAAAGATGTGTTTGGTTTAGCCCATTGTACTGTGCTTAATGGGGGAGTACAGTGTAAGCTTTTTCCTCTGAAAAAGGTATGATTCCTCTGGTATTCTACCAGATTGGAATCATGATCATTGTATTCAATTCCTTTGCACTTGAGAACACCATTAAACTTCTTTTGGAAAGGAACAGGACTCAACTTGCCGGATCATTGCTACCTCTGCCTGCTGTAATTTCAGATGGTGGAACCAGTGCCACGTAACCGTTGCTCTGTGGTTTGTATTTCCAAACACCAAATGATCCAAGAGGGGCAGGAAGGATCTCTCTTTTTTTTTCGAAATTTACCTAATTATCGCTTTTCTTATATACGTCCTTTTTGTAATCCTGAAATATATTAAACAGTCCAGATGAAAAATGCATCTTTTTTTTTTTTTTTTTTTTTTTTTTTTGGGTCACATCTCAGTATGCTTGTACTGCAGCTTGACTAAAGCTCATTGAATTATTTCCAATAGCCCAAAACTGTTTAAAAACTGCTGTCCATGTGTTTCCTTTCATTATTGTTTGAATGGCCTTTTTTCAGTTCTGTGAACAGTGTTAACTTCTGACATTTCATTAAACTGTTAGAGGAAGTTGAGATTAGTCAGGTCGTTTCAAATCAACACAGCAAAGTCATTCAGCTGCAATAGGAGGGGAGGGAAAATGCCTACACCTTTGAGTACCAGGCTAGATACCAAATGCCATACCAAAGAGAGACATTGCCCCACTGCCCATCTGGCTTCTTCTCTTAGAGCAAAAGAAGTTTGATTTACAAAATTACCACAGGGGATTCAAATTACAGGCCTGTCACAGGAAGAGAAGAAAGGCTATTTGCTGTTTTTTTATTTCTCTCTTCAATGAATACTTTTTTCTTCTTTTTTTGGTTGTTTTGTTGTTTTTTTTTTTTTTGGGGGGGGGGGGTTTTTTTAATAATAAGAGCCCACGTTAGCCTAAGTAAACTCTTGTACATCCCTTCACCTTCCAGCATAAGAGTTCAAGGGATCTGGCTGGTACAGAGTAGCAGAGACAATGAAGATGATTTTGTCTTCCAGGAACACTTTGTGCTGGCTTTGTGTGTTTGGAATTTGGAAGAGCCCATGGTTGCTCTGCATTTCTTCTATAGAGGTGTCACACTCTTCACTAAGGGAAGGCTGAATCTCACCTTCCCTGTCTGACGTCCTTGGGCCTGAGGGGGAGGATTTGCATGACTAAAGTCCTCTGTTATGGAAATATAGCTGCTATTTAGGGTACTGCCAGATTCACAACAATAGACAAAAGATCATATCCTGCCTCTGTGGAACTTGCCATGAGCAGATTACTCTTGACTGGTGTTCCTAAGGCTAGATTTATTAAGCCTTCTAAATAATTCCAGCGTTTATGATGCCGCTAGCTCCCTATTTTTACAGGGTTGGCTCAGGTTCGAGTGTCATCCTCTCTGTCCTCTTGATACACTGTATACCAGAGGAGTGCAAGTTGGGGATAAACGCTACGGCCAAACTCCTGCTAATTGTGATTTCTTCTCTGAATAATTAGTTGTGGTATCAAAGATGTAATAAAATTTGCTATTAAGGCAGTGGCAGGAGGGTGTTGCATTTTTTTAAACGAACTGATCTGGCCTAAAACAACCTTGGTCTATATGGTCCGTATAAAAATATGGAAAATATGAGTTGCAACTGCATGAACTGTTCCCTCTTCTACTCTGACAGAAGAAGAAAATAAGTTTAGTTAAAGAATAACAGAAGGGGACAGTTTTTGCTCTCTGAGTGCATGTGTTTATACAACTTTCTGTAGGCAGCCAGCTACCCCATCGTAGCAATTGCACTAAGTGATGGGCTTCAGCTTCTCCAGAAATAAGGTCTTACCTAAAGGTGCACGTTTTTTCATTCCTTTCCTGTCTGCTTTCATAGATAACTCATGCCCCAGTGACCCCCTTTCAGGCAGGTTTATTCACCTGATTTGCACCTTGGTATTAAATTGCCATTTAGTGGCATCAGTGAAGAATGTAAGTGACCACAAGCTTCCACATCTTCCCTGAGAATTAAGAGACTGTCCCATTTAATTCCACAATTTCAATCTGCACTGGAATGTCTATACTTACCTCTGAGGACAAACTGCAAGTGAATTTCAATCACAGAGTAAGCTTGTGAAAAACCTGGCTTCTGTGGTTTTATTGTGAGGGCACCACATCGTTATCTTTAACACATGACTGAGTCTTTTACCTTCCTCCCATGTGTTTATACAGGGAAAATCAGGCCATTGGACAGCAGAATGTTTAAACATTGCATATGCTTCCCCGTGCACCCTGACTGAAGAAGGTCTCATAAAAATTAATTTGATAAAATTATGTTCTCTGTTGAATCAGGGATAGAAACACATCAACCTCACTTTATCCAGTATGTGAAGTGACTGGAAAATAATCACATGGTAAGATCTGTATGAAAGACAACTACAAAAAGAGAAGCTTTAGAAGTCATCAAAATGCACATAAACAATTTTCTGGCAAGGGCAATCTAAGCCTCTGGCTTACTTGGGATACTTGCCATCAATAGGAATCTTTCCCTTTGCTTTCAGTGGGCACTGGTTCAGCCCTTGGAGAAGTTGCTTTTGAAAAGGTTTTGGCAGTTAAGGGAAGATTCCATGAGAAACAGCAGGACTCTGCTTTCCATGCAAGGATCTGGGTATACTTCAGCAGCTGTTACTCAGATGCAGCTGGACCTGCATCACAGTTTGTATGCTGTATTGTTGAGTGTGAAATAATAAATTTACTTTTTTTAAAACTCACTGAAATGGTGAGCTCCAAAGTAAAACACGGGACATAACTGGGTAAATGGGAAGTGCCTTTTTAAAATTTTCTTGGGGTTGTTTTTTTTTTTTTTCCCCTTGGGGGTGTGGGGGCAAAGTGCTATTTAGTTTGGTTTTGGGTTTTTTCATGCAGTGATAACTCATAGAGGAATACACCTCTGAAGTACCCTCAGCTCGCTACGTCATTCCAGGGTGGATCTTGGTTTGTTGTTTTGACTCCTTGGGCAAAAAATTACTCAGACTCTGGGATTTGTGTGTCGTTGCATTGTTCTTTGCATTTTAGTTATTTGTCAGTAGCTTTTCTCTGTGGAGTATTTTGTAGCACTTGAACCACATGGAAAGTATGCACCAAGCTTAACTTCTAAATTTGGTGAATAATCTGTTGTGTGTAGATGTTGTCATGTATTTCTGAGGAAGAAGAAACCCACTAAGGGCACTCTGTCCTCTTCAAAAACACTTGTAAGAAATGGTCACAGAGCTTTCAAAGATCTTCCCTCTTCTGTGTGCTGTGTGAATTTCCATGCGATTCACTGCCTTCATTACTGACTAGAGCCACTAACCTCAAGCCAACAGACAGAAGGTAAATGGAGAGAAGCGGTGAATTTTTTGACCACGTTTATTTTAAAATGTTTAGCCAAAGTATAGATGAAGTCATGGAAGACTCAGAACTCCATTTTTTTTTTGTTTCCTCCTCACTTCAAAGTGTGGTTTCCCCATCACTTTGGTCACTATATCACCCTGCATTTTAGACTTACTAATCCACTTTTGCGTACTGTCACTGCCAGCTGTCCCTGTTGTGGCAGTCCTGATGACAGTTCTTCAGCAGGTGAGTGGACACTTGTGTAGCCCATCAGGGCTCTCAGAGGAGCCACTGACCTCCACAGCTCAAGTAGAAAGAGTGAGTCTCTTTTAGGCGTCTAAAGACATTTCTGGTGCTGACCTGTTTTGGAGAGGGCACCACTGACACACAAGATGCACAATAATGCGCACTAACCCACTGTTGCTTGAGCCCTGGAGGTACTCTTTGGTCGTGAAGTTTGCTGGGCTGTGATCAGTGCTTCCTGTGGCCACCTTGATATCCAGTCCACTGAGAGGATGAGTCTGTGGTGGCAGTCAGCTTGGCAGCCTGGGACACGTCTCGGTTCTGGCTCTAGGGATATTGAGCTCATCTTGTGCCCTGGCCTGAGCAAATGCCAGAGGGGCATTTCCCACTGCCAGTGGAGGGGTGGGAACATCGTGGGTGGATTGAGCTGGACATAACACTGGTATAGCCATGGCTGCTCCAGGCTGTATCCAGCTTCCAGACACACCTGAGGGGGGTGCTTTCCAGCTGACAAATAGAAAATCTTGACTAAAATTGTGTAACTGTGGACTGCTTTGCTGTTCTTACTTTGGAGACTTCCAAAGGAGATAAAATGCCTTCCCGAGCGCACAGAAATAATAGAATATGAATAGAAAGACAGTGTGGCAGCAAAAGCTACCTCAGGATTTGTTCCTGAGGCAGTTCCACCCAAAAACCTAGAGGTGCAAAGGCAGAGAAAAACATTGTATCAGTGTTTCCATCTTCACAAGAACGTTAGTGAGATAGTCCGAAATTTCAGCAAGCTCTTGTAGCCAGATGTTAAAAAGCAGCCAGCCAGTCACTACGTATTCCTGTGGAGTGAGGTTAGAGCTGCAAAGCTGTAAGTGAATGACCTCAGCAAAAGCGAGCTGAATTTCTTAAAAAATCTGCAAGTGTGTCAGTCAAACATGCAAATACATCACACACTCTGCTCATGTAGCTGATGCAAAAGCCTACCCACTCTGTTAATGGCTCCACAATTGACTATTAACCTTAAGGGACAAATGGAGTATGTTAGTAGAATCCAGTAGGCAACGTGGTGGTACGAAATGTCATTCTCCTTAATAAATTATTTCTACAGCTTTAAAGGTTTGGATCCTCCACAATATGTATTTTTATTTGCTGATATTAAATGAATCCCTCTTGGAGGAGATGGCTTCTCTTGGCTGGAACTCCTTACAACTTTTAAGGCAAACGTAGCACTAAATAAACTGAAACAATTTGAACTTTGTAGACTTTTTATGCTGTGAAACAGTTATTATAGAAAAGGCATTTAAGAGTGGGGTTTTTTGCCTTCAAGAATTTTGGAATAGTCTTTCATTTTCAGTTTCAAGATGACCAAATAGTTCCAGTAATTTCTGAGCTCCCTGCCAGTTTATTATTACTGCAACTGGCTACAAACCAGCTGACTGATGTCAGTCTCATAATAAAGAATGACAAAGCTGGACAAAGGTCCCATGAGAAACCAAAGGAGGATCTAACACAATTGTAAACCTGTGCAAAAGGCTACAAGGTCTCTGGCAACAGTTTTACCACTTTTTATAGCACTCTTTATTCCACAGCTTTTATTTATTTTCCTTTCCAAGGTATTTGTATGTTGCATTATTCTCTGTTTTCTTATTTGTCTGTTTGGGTTTTCTGAGTGTCATGTAATGGAGTACACAAATACTCTTATGTAATGTGAGTGCATAACTATTTAATATGACTCATTAATATGTTCCA